CCCCTGACATAGGAGCTGCACATCTAAATGCTATCTTCCCTAAGACAGTCCTAGCAGTTGGCACATTTAATAAAACCACAGCATGCGATCTCAGGCAGTAGCCACTTACAATTCGCTGTGAGATCAGGGAGCAGATGTAGGATGGCAGTTTCCCTAACATGGCTTTGTATATAAAAATGTACCAGTAACTGAGCCTCCGTACAGTTAGTGAAGGCAAACCTGCCCTTGCATACAGGGTACAGTGATGGGTTAATACTTTACAGTTTGTCACAAATCTCAGTGCACTGTGATACGCGGCATCTAACTTGATCAGGTAATGGGCAGGTGCATTCATATAAAACAAATCACCATAGTCCAGCACAGGTAAAAAGGTCACAGTGACTAGCCTTTTCCTGGCCTCAAGCGAGAAACAGGACTTGTTTCTGAAAAAGAAACCTATCCTAACCCTCAGTTTTTTAAGCAGGTTATTGACATGAAGTTTAAAAGAGAGACAATCATCAAGCCAGATACCAAGGTATTTGTAACAGGTAGCCACTTCAAGTTTTATTCCTTGCGTAGTTACAATATCTAAAACAGGCTCTGGTGTCTTTTTAGCTTTTGAAAAGAGCATTACCTTGGTTTTATCAACATTTAAAAGAAGCTTTAGTTCAGAGAGCTGAGTCTGAATAATGTTAAAAACAGCTTGCAATTCAACAACAGCCTCCTTAATGGAGGGACATGCACAGTACATAACGGTATCGTCCGCATAAAAATGTAAGGTTGCTCCATCGACATTTTCACCTAAACTATTGATGTAGATGGAGAATAAAAGTGGATCTAAAACAGAACCTTGTGGTACACCATTAGTAATGTTTAACCACTCAGAAGACAGCCCATCAAACTGAACACATTGGGACCTTTCAGCGAGGTAGTTCACAAACCACCCTACTGCATGGCTGGATAAGCCAATACTGACGAGCCTCTGCTTCAAGATGCGATGATCGACGGTGTCAACCGCTTTGGACAGGTCAACAAATAGAGCTGCACAACTCTGCTTATTATCTAAAATACTCGCCATATCATTCACCACTTTCATTGTCGCAGTGGTGGTGCTATGTTGCTTTCTGAAGCCTGACTGATGTTTAGACAGGATGCCATTTGTAGATAAAAACTCCTTTACCTGTTCACTCACTAGGCGTTCGAGCACCTTGGCCAGAACTGACAATTTAGAGATAGGCCTATAATTATTTAATAAGATGGCCTCCCCTCCTTTTAGTAAAGGCAGGACATAAGCTGACTTCCATATTTTTGGAATTGTATTTGTGCTGAGGGAGAGGTTAAAAAGAGTAGTGAGAGTTGGAGCAATAAAATCTGCAGCTATCTTTAAAAGAAAGGTTCTACGCTGTCCGGGCCAGCCGGTTTCTTAGGATCTAACTTGGTTAAGGCTTCACGAACAACATCAATAGTAAAAGGAGTAAAACTGAAAGGGTTTTCCAGACCACATTGTTCAGAGCCACGGCCAAAACCATTATCTCTGTAAAGTAAGTACATTTAAGGCCACATGTGAAACACTTTTATAGTCACAACGGAAGTCAGAACTATTTGTATTTTTAAAATGAGAAAAGCCTGTGTGCTGACGTTGTCAATACCATTTATTTATATAGCATTACATCTTCTGTCTCAGAGCAAATTATGACACCCTGTATCCTTTGATCCTCAAGCTGAAATTGTGTGCTTCTTTATATCTCTATATTTAGTTGTTACTTATCTTAACTTAACATGATATTAGCATTAGCTGGCACTTGATACCAAAAATGGTTTAATTGTGTGTCATCGGACCACAGACTATTTTTAAAATACCCAAATGTCCTTCAGCATTTTTTACCAACCTTCACTCAGACTGGACAACCATTGTGAGTTTAAATTCTGGATTTTTGGATTTTAAGGAAAGTTAGTAATGCATTGGTAATTACAATTGTAAACATAAGTGTTTCAATAGTGATAAAGATAACATGATTTACATGAAAATTATGAGCTTATGTAAAGGATATCTTTTTCATTTAACATGTAGTTCATCGTTTAGAAATAAGTTAAAGGTCCCCTATTATACTGTTTTTTATCAATATATTATAGGTCTCAGATATATACAAACATCCCATAATCCCCTCTGTTTCAGCCCTGTTTAAAAAGTGCTGATTCTCTGTCTGTTACTTTAGATGAAAATAAGGAGCCACTCCCCACGCCCCTCTGAGAGATATTTGGTTAAAAAGAACACAATGGTGCTTTAGGAGGAGATTCAGGTGATAAGGTGGGGGGGGGGGGGGGGGGGGGTTACCTTGGTTGGTTATTGGCTAATGGTTACACAAGCCAAAAAATCGTTATGACATCATAACGTGGCCAAAATCTGATCAGCTCATTTTCAGACAGGTTTTTATATAAATGGATCAGGACAAAAAGTGAGATAATCTTTTTTCCTGAAACTTTCAGAATCTCTGAAAAAGGGGACACATGCTTATGTAGAAGACAGGAAAAAGTGGATTTTACATAATAGGTCCCCTTTAAATATTCTGTAAACAAATGCAAAGTAGCGTGTGTCATAACATCTCCCTGTGTAAAGAGAAATGTTGATTTACATTGATGAACCATAGTGTTCAGCAGTCAATAAGCAGCCGGCTGTGTGTGAGCAGCAGTGAGCAGTTGGTGAAAAGATGATGTGTGTTAACAGCTGCAGTGTGAGGTTACTGAACAGCAGCCGCTCTGACCTGCACAGCTCAACTGCACTGCAACTCTGCAGGGAGAAAGAATACTCTCAGGGGGACAAAACATGACCCCAGACATTTGAATTTGTATTCCAGCTTAAATCCTTCCATCGTCCCAACATTCGAGCCAAAGAGTTGGGAATATATTGCTGCTTTTGTGAGGTGTTGAAGAACTAAAGTACTTTATAACAATACTGCATTAGAACAAAGGTCCAGCGGTCAAAACCCATATTAAGAATAAAGAGAAAATAAAATATCAAACATAATGACTTCATTGCTCTCACAACATTTTCCCCTTCAAATCCTGGAGGTGAAATAGGGAAAGAACAAGAATAGGAAAAGTTCTACATTTTTTGCTGTCCTGCAGACATTAAGTTGAATTATTATTTTCCGTTGTGCAAAGTAACTACTGTAAGAACATTCACTCAAGTACTGTACTTGAGTATTCTCACTTTATGCTACTTTATACTTCTCCTCCACTACATTTTGTCAGCAAATATTGTACTTTTTACTCCTCTACATGTAATTGAAAGCACAAGTTACTTTTGGAGGTACATTTTATTAATACAATTTGAATAATATACTTGAATATACTGTTATGGATAGAGTTATCTGGCAGTATAAGAAGTTATTTATGTTTTCTGGTCATCTAACAGCTGCAACATTCAAATGATAGACACATGAATGCATCACTAATTATACTACAGTGATATATTATATATTATTCTGAAAATGACCACTTTGAATAAAGTGTATATGTAAGAATATTTTGATGCTAATACTTTTATACTTTTACTTATCTAACATTTTGATTGCAGAACTTGTACTTGTTACAGAGTATGTCTACACTGGAATTGAAACTTTTACTGAAGCATAAGATCTGAGTCCTTCTTCCCCCTATTATTTTACAACAATAACAACACTTCCTTCTCCCAGGCTTATGTCAATTGGTGCTTTGTGGTGACTTAAACAAAGGTCAGCTATTAAAAGAAGGCCTCTCACATCCGTTACTATTCAGGATCTCTGTACCACCATTCCTTTCAATGGGGACTCAAGGTCAGTCAATTTTATATATAGCCGTCTCGGTCTCAGGGTGCTACATTAAATCCATTCTTAACATAAAAGTACATCTGAAGCAACATTTCAGAATTCAGAGATTCAAGTAAGAATTCAGACATGAATGTACATTTAAATTAAAATGTTTTTAATATAAATATTCATCATTTGATGTGTGGCCATATGTTCTTATAAATAGGCTATATTTGTCAAATACTTTAACACAATGTAATTAAATAAACAGATATGCATGCATTAGTTCAACCACAGTACTGTGCACACACATACCCATGCACACCAGCAACAGATTTACATTGTTGTGTGAAATAATAGTTATTTATTGCGCTCCAATGGCATGACTTTAACAGGCGATGAGGTAGGGCCATACATCATGTCCACCTTAGGGGACTAAATGTATTCTTAAATATTTTTCTCATGATTCACTTCCGTCAGCGTCACTTTGCCTTCAAAATAAAACCACAAACTTTGTCACTTAAAGTGTCAGTGGGAACTTAATCATTTAGAATAACAAGTGTAAAGGCTTTTAAACAACAACAGGATCTGTTGATTCCATTATTGTTAAAGTTGCAATAATTAGTCATGAACCTAAAACAAATTGCTTGGTTTTTTGACAATCCGATAACCGTTTGAGTAATTGTGTCATGCAAACATATCAGAAAAAGCAGTTTTGAACCTCTTCAATATAGTGTTGTCCTACTTTACTCTGTTTTGTATCATATTAAACTAAATATCTTTGACATAAAAGAGATTATCTTGAACTTTGAGAAACTGGAATGGATTTATTTACTGTAGCCAATTTCAGACATTTCTTAGACCAAACGATAAATCTTAAATAATCGTAATTTACAATATTATTGGTAGGCCTACATTTGTTTTACTGCGATAAGGCCAACAATAATAGTAAATCAATACATAAACAAATAACTAAATGAATACTTCAGCAGTTCCTTCTAGCTTTTTATTCCTGGAAGTGTATATATATAAATATAGGCCTATACAATGTATAGATATAAATATAGGCCTATACATAACAATCCAAGTAACCCAAACAAAAGTGGAGACCTTTTTTTGGATTCAAAATTCCGGATTTTCGGACCCGTCCCCTGCAAATTCGTAAACATGCTTTTATTTTGAAGCTGCCCGGGAAGTACTAGACGCTCACATTCACGCTCTCTTTATCTCAGTTCTCCCTGTGTGTGTCGGCCGTCGTCCCGGCAGAAATTTGATAGAACTGTCGGTGCACAGCCAGATCAATTCGGTCAGAGCCCCGGGCAGGAGTGAAGCCTCTTCCCGCCTCCTCCAGAACCCGGGTCCGGGCTCCGTGCGGGTCTCCCCGGGTCCATGGCCTGATCGGTACCGGCGGCGGGTCAGCTGCGGCTGGAGCCTTCGAGATGCTCCGCGCTCTATTCCGCTGCACAATAACACCGTCACCGATACCGGTCTGGAGACTCAGCTATGCTTTTCAGACGGAGAGCCAGGTAACGATCTGAAGAAAATGGGAAGAGTCGGAGCCGCGGGGTGGACGGGTGGACGGGGGGTCTGCAGAGATGCACAGATTGTGGGGAATGAAAAGGTGGCGCTGCGCTGTGATCCTGCAGGAAAAAGAGGAGAAGGTGTGGGTGGAGGAGGGCTGCTTCAAAGGCCTTCCATGTGCAAGATTTATTTGTGCATTTACAGCCTGTGTGTGTGTGTGAGAGTGAGTGAGTGAGTGTGTGTGATGCAGACTGAAGGCTCCTTTGTGTTGTGGTGGAGGCTGAGGGGTGGGTGGTGGCCCCTGCTTATTCTTCTGTGTGTAGCACCGCTCTTATTGTATGTCCGTACCACCCATCCTTTGCAAATCATGATGTTATCCTGCTCTCCATGTGGTTATAATATATTGTATTCCATGAGCTCTGTGAGTGATCACCACCAGGCCACAGCTATAACACCCCACACATTAAACACAGTACATCTGCTATGAGAAATATTATTGCATGAAACCAGAATCCAAAGATGTCCTTGGCTTCTTTTGCCAAAAATAAAAACACACAATATGTCCAGTCCAGCAACACAAACTGAAATAAGGTAATTTAAAAAAGCTCTAACCAACAAGAAAGAGCAGCCAGCTTGTTACATTGTTGATATATTTCTTGGGGCTTGTCCCTAAATTAAATTATATGTAGCCTAGAAAGCTCTTGATAAGGATAACAAATAGTTTGAAGTTACTTTTGTTGCACAAGTAATTAGGGACTTCAGTTTGAGCTCTAATTTCTTACCAAGTGGTCTGAAAAGCTAATAAACATACACTGGAGCTTCTTAAAAAACTAATATAGACTTTAATTAGTCATAAAGGGTTTGAATAGGTCTAGACAACAATGGTAGAATGACATGCAGGTCACATCCGCTGCATCGATATGTGTTTAGCGGCTGATTTCCTCTTTGTGTAAGGCAGCAGCGTCACAGCACAGAACTCATATATCTCTTAATGTCCATTTACATTGGCATATGCAAATGTCACATCACTAATGGTGCATTCCCACTGCAGCGCGTAGCACGGTTTAAGCGTACCGCGCCAAACCCGGCCCGTTTTTTTTCTTCCGTTTCCACTAGGGCTGTCCCGAATACCATTCTTCGGGCTCCGGATATTCGGTAGTAATCAGCAGCGAATATTCGGATATTCGGCCCGCGCGCGGGGGGGTGCGTAGTAATCAGCAGCGAACCGCTTCAACACGTGTATTTCGGTTTATTCACAGCATTCATTTTGTTATTCTACAGTATTGTTGTTTTATAGTTATTTGTTAATGTATTTAACCCAATTTGTGTTCTTTGAAATTGAAAAGGATATTGCATTATGTGTGTTACTTTCGTTGCAGTTGTATATGTCTTAAGTGTAATTTGGCTTGGCTTCCTATTTTTTATGGACATGCTTTTATTTTGAAGGAGAGTTAGCGCTGTTGACAGTTAGTTGTTGTTGCTATGGAAACAACGTGACGGAGATTAACGGAGAAAAGTCATATCTACATATAAAGACGGAGAAAGTAAACATTAAAGTTTATGGTTAAGTGTTAGCACCCCCCGAAGAGGCGCAAGCTCTTACGTTGATATTGGAGATTTCAATAAATTCAATTTAAAAAAAAACGATAAAATACGAATATCCGAATAACGAAATTGAAACCCGAATAGTACTCCAATGAACGAATATTCGGATATTCGGGTACAGCCCTAGTTCCGGCTAACGGGTACTTTTTCACAGTTTTTCTGGCCCTCCAAAATCGTGGTTCTTTCCGGGCCAACAACCGGGCTGAATATGCTAAACTAGTGACGTGAGTGGCTACAACTACAACACAATGAACATATTTTACCGTGATTTAATTGTAATACACGTTTCAAAATGATGCCGAAGTAACAACATACTGATACCGGTTAGTAAAAACCATGAATTAATGCTTTGACAAGTCTGCAGACAAGACGGTAGGCGAAAAACCTTTTAAAATGCGTGTTTTCTGAATGGAGATCGGCTAAGCTAACGTTGTATATGCTCCGACCGTCCACACACTCACAACAACGGCCTACAGACATAAATAAAGCAGCGACTGTATTCGCCATGACACAGACACTCTGTGGTTTGTACTTGTTTAACTTTTGTCTAGTTTCTGAACAGATATGAGGAGCTGAGAGCTCTGAGTGCTAACAGCTAACGGCTGATGTTGGTTTTGTGGTTCGCATTGAAGATGACGCCACGGCTCCGCCTACACTGCGTTACTATAGTTACTGCCCCAGCTACTAAACTGTAATGGAAACGCAGCATAAAGTGAGCCTGGCCTAACTATACCGTACTAAGCCGTGCGAGGCCCTGCAGTGGAAATGCGCCATAACAGATCTCGTCCTGCACCACTGAGTACAGACAGTTCACTTGTTACTGTTTAAATACAGCAGGAAATGTAATTTCCCCATGATAAACTGTCTCCCTGTCTCTTAGCTTTGACAATACTGCTGCAAACTGAAGAGAGAAAAGAAAAAGGGAGAATCAATGATGTTTCGTCACAATGCCACACATTCCTGTTCATTCCTTTTCAGCATTGGTCATTATGACCTAACCTCCCTGTACTCCCCGTTCTCTCACACACACACACACACACACACACACACACACACACACACACACACACACACACACACACACACACACACACATTCTCTTTCTCCTCTCCGGCCCGAGGCTAGCAGTCATGTCCGTGTTCACGTCATTCACATCCTCCGTTCTGATTGGACAGTTATTTTCTCCCTTTTTGCCACTATGCTGCCGTGCACTGAAGTGTATGCGGATGACCCCGACACATCAGAGCAGAAGCAGTTATTAAGAATGACATGGTCAAAGTTCACGTACATCCCGTGGATAAAAAAACGTGTGATAATATTACTTTATTAGCAGACACATTGGTCGGAAAATGCAATATCCGAACTATATACAGCATTAATTATCTTTATTAGGTCAACAGATTTCACATAACTGTATTAGGTTAGTTGAAAGCAATATTATCAAGTTTAAATAACAAATAATAGGTTCAACTTAATATATTTGCTTTCAATTAACCTAATACAATTATGTGAAATCTGTTGACATAATACGTTTAATTAAAGTCAGTTTCTCAGTGTAGGCTGGTCCTTTTGTCTGTGGATGTTTTCAGGCTGATGCTGAAGAAGCCTTATTCATGTTTACTTTATGACTCATCCAAATCTCCCCCTCTCTCTCTACCCTCTCTTTTGCCTCCCCCACCCCTTTATTACCTCCTCCACCCTTATTTCCTCATCGCTCTTTTGACATGACATCACGTCCCCCTCCTCCACCTCGAAAACATCATCTTCCCTTCCCCACCCACCACCCCGTTTTGTCCCCCATTAACAACATCATCATTCTTCTCTCCCCTCTCTTCTCCACCATCATTTTCTTCACCTTCTCCTTAATCTTCTTGCCTCACCCTTCTATACCTTCCTCCATCCATCGCCCCCCCCCCCCCCCTCCCAGGATGTTGCGGTGGCTGGTGTGTGGCCGGGTGGGCACAGTTTGGATCTGGAAGGCGCTGCTGCTTTTCGTTGCCATCGCCTTCGCTGTCCAACTGTTGGGGGTCATCTTCAACAAGAGGTATCTATTTTGATTTACTAAATGTATCTGTGATTGAACTTATTTCTTTTGCATTGCAGTTCTAAGAAGGTATGCACGATGATATTGGCACAACATCAGTATCGGCCGATTTAAACTTTCAAATTAAATGTTGCCATTTTCCCCAAATGAAGCTTTAATTACGCTATGGAAACCATTGACTAAGCGGGTAAAACATCTGATGTGTTGAGGTTCAATTTCGCATAAAAGAATCAACCTATCTTCCGTGTCCACATAGCGTTTTTTTCTCTCAGTAAGGCGATGACAGCATTTCCTCTTTTTTATTGACAACGAAAACGATATGTCAATATGTCAATGTTTTTTTCTGTTTGTGCTACTACAGTTTTTTTTACATTGTTTTTCACTGTAAGCACCACCAGGAGACGCTTGATCTCGGGCTCTTTGCTTTTTCTGGAGGCGACCGCTTCCGAGTGTTCTCATTGGAATCAATTGAAAAAATAAGCTTCTATTTTTGAATGACTTAATTGAGTGTAAGCAACAGTCTGCAAAGCATATGTACTTATTTTGAGCAGGCATAATCATTTTTTCAATTCACCACAGAAGAGAATTGATGTTCTAAGCGATTAGGTGGAAAAGTTACATCATCAATCTGCCAAAATTCAGCATAGCCCAGCTGTCAAACATTGTTGATTCTCACAGTAGAAGAGGTTTAGGTTTATACACTACTTATACCTTATTGGTATGATAATTATTTTTGAGATTGAGGTAGACTGAGTATGTCTTGGTGAATAGCTGTGCACTGAAACTGCTTCCTCTCCGTGTGACGGTGGCAACCACGAGAACCACCGCCAGGAAGTGAGGAGAATAATACAGGATCTAAATGTGCTGATACTGCCCTTTATCACGGGGCATCTCTTTAAAACATTACAAAGAAATAGTTGTTTTCACACACTGACTTGGAGCACTATTAGCGTCACATTTTGATTATTTTCTAGATATTATTAGTAAGTGTGTTTTGAGCGCTGCAACCAATCCTTTTATTTAATGGCCAATTTATGTTTATCCAATTGAAAAAGGTAATCATAGAAGATGTCTTCAAACGTTTTGTATTGTCTGACCAACCATTCTGAGCCCAAATATATTCATTTACAGTACTTAAAAAACCGAAATCTTTACTAATTGAATTGCCATGAATGATCTGCAGATTAAGCTCACACGGTGGGACTGTTCATTTACATCATACGCCATTTTCTCTTTGTTCACCGTGAGGTTGGGCAGAGCCTTGCGGTGAAAACAGCTAGTTAGTTTCATTTCAATGGTCACATCCCCTGCCCGCTTGCACCGCTGTCATCTGATTGGTTGCGCGTGGAAAGGTCAGCGATCCACAAGGTCAAAGTCGGAATAATTTGAACATTAAGCGCACTGCCTGGTGACCAATTTTCCAAAGAAACACAACGTCAGCACAGAGCCGTTTTTCCACTTGTCATGTGACTACAGCTAGTTATTGAACTTGACTTTACGTCAGTTACGCAAAGAAATACGCTTATATTTTGTTGCTTTATTTTGACATTATGGTCACAAATTCTGCTGCTTACTCGTGTTAACCTTTTAACGTTAACAGTTATTTTACCAAACTTGATGTTGCTGTCATAGATAGTCATGGCAACACACTAAGATAAGTTTCAATCAATAATTCCCTCTTTATGGGTTGAAACTACTCTTAGTCCTGTTTGTGTTTCCTCTCTTTCTTGTGTTTTTCGCACTTACATCTCAGCATGTGAAGACGATGATAACAGGGATCTCTGAAGAGCAAGGCTGTCATGGGGTTTTAATGCTTGTTGAATTTAAGTTAATCTGACACTCTAAAATCCACTGAGATTAGGCTGAGATCTGTTAGCAGCCTGTGTTGGCCGAGGAGAAGACTCTAACATTAAAAATGTGCTTGAATCTTGTCGTTACAACCTGAAAATGAGCTCTCAGCAGCATGAGGCGTGAAATATTGATATGTTTCATTGACACAAGCTGTGTTGGTAGTTTCCCTACCACATGTTTTATTTATTTCTATTTTTAGTTGTCATTTAAAAGATCAACAAAGGGCACTACGAGGTTAAAGAGAAGACTGCTCAGGGTTATAATGGACAATCCTTCCAGTAATCATTACTGTTGCTGTTAATGCTGTTAAAATGAGCAAGCATGTCTTTTGAATGGGTAACATGCTCAACCTTGTACCAAGTGTTCCAGCCTCTGAGAAATCAGATGTTCTTTTTTAGTTAGTTCTTGTGCAGTTGCTCTACTTTAAGATACCATTCATGGGCACATTATGTTTTAATAGACTCTATTTGGTACAGAATGTATTTTTAATACCATAATACTGAAGTAAATTATTAATCCTAAAGTAGAGCTTTCCATTTAACTCTGTCCTCTAACATCTGGGTCCAAGGGCCCTGGGGGGGGGGGTTCAGGTTGCAGTCCCTCAGCTTGCATTTCTACAGTGTGGTCAGGGCATAAGGACTGGATTTTCAATGATGCTGCCTACTAACAGACTTACCCACTAGAGCTGAACTGAGGTTGAGTTTCACTGTGCGCCGTGCCAATATTGACGTTTGAATACCAATCCCTTAGATATGGCTACCAAATAATAAAGCACATGCCCTTTGATAATTGATCCATGCACTTACTGCTCAAGCCCTAACATCCCAAAAAGTGTTTTTAATTCACAATAATTCTTCATCCGTCTTTGGCTTTATAGTTACATAAATGGAAAATGTTAAATTATAACTGTTTTTTCTCAAGAATTTGGTTTAATGCATTGCTGTCTTTAATCAGAACATTTTCTATTCTGAGTTTACATTATAAGTGCAAGATAGATGAGAAGATGATTGAAAAACTCCCTAAAGCACATTAACATCACACAGATTAAATTAAAGCTGCATTAATAGATTTTTTGGGGCAACTTTGGAGCTGAAAAGCAGATTCAACTCATTGCAGTATGAATGTAACAAGGATTTCAGTGTTTGGTGGAACCTCTCAAGTGCCCCCTGGCTCTGTGGATGGTAAGAGCTAGAGGTTACATGTTTCACATGAAGTTGTCTCAAAATCTGCTTAAATATATGTGAAGTGAAGTACCCTGGTCACTCTGAATAACTTTCGGGATACCAAAGATGGAAATAAACTGACTCAGGTTTTTCACCACAGACTTAGCTGTGATGTTCCTCAATGGATATACCGCAGGATAACGTGTGGTCTGACACATCACCGTCAGCAGATATGAACTTCCAGCCTTAGACTTGGGCAATGGGCCAACACAGTCAATCAGCAGTCGATCAAAAGGGGAGGACACTGCAGGAATAGGAGACAGAGGCACAGGTTTAAGAGTTTGGTTAGGTTTACTCGTTAACTGACAAGTATGACAAGTCTTAATAAAGGCAGACACAGCCTTCTTCAATCTGGGCCAGTAGAAATACCGCAGCACTCTGTTGTAAGTCTTCTGCACTCCAAGTGACCTGCAACATCATCATGAGCTGTTAGCAATACCCCTTCTCTCAGCTTGTCTGGTATGACAAATTGAAATATTGCTTGCCCAACAAAACCCTCACCATGAAAATACCCATGGGCTGCACTGGTGATTTCCTCAACGGGGCGAACCTGGCACAAGAGCTCCTGCAAAGAAGGATCTGTGTAGGAGTCAATTTAACGTGAAAGTGTAGGTAAAAGGTACGCTTACAGGGATATCAGTTAAGGCAATACAAATAACTTCACTTTCACCGGCGAGCTCATTCTTGCGCCAGTCCAATAATACAACAGGAAAATTAGAAGGGCTGCAGAGAGTCAAGCATGAAAGTCTGAGCCTTGGGGCCCCCTTTATGCTTGAGCCCCTGCTAGCTCAAGCAACAAATAGGGGTGGGGTCATTTTATCCTTTGCATTGTTTGTAGGATTTTAAACACGAAGTTGACATTTAATCTAAAGTTACATTTCTCCCTCCTCCTCCAGCAGTGTGCATCCAGCTGGCCACTCCATCTTCCTGTCCTCTGATGCTCAGGGCCCCTCTCTGGGCTTCTGTCAGCCCCACACCCACATCATGTTCCTGAAGACCCACAAGACGGCCAGCAGCACGGTGCTCAACATGCTGTACCGCTTCGGGGACGAGCGCAACCTCCGCTTCGCCCTCCCAATGGGATACCAGTTCGGATACCCACTGCCTTTCAATGCTCATAGGGTCAAAGGTTACCGAGGCCCCAGAGCCATGGAGTTCCACATCCTGGGCCATCACATGAGATTTAATAAGCCTGAGGTGAGTCATTCATAAGAGCAGAGGGGGAAGTGAAATGGCAAAGGGGATGATTATTATGGAATGTTCTGTAGTGGTTTGAATACATTTATAAATGTACCATGTGTGTCATTGTTAGGAAAACTTAATAATCACTTTTTTTCCCTCATGAAATATGTCACCCTTTGCTTATAACTAAACCATCAAACACACAAAAAGAGATAACAAAATGAATCAAAAACATATTTTGTTTGAAATCAATGTGTATACATTTAAATAAAAAAAATTAAGAAGAAGGAACCAATTGCAAAGTTTTAAAAAAAAACAATAAACAACAACACAAAGAATATATTTTAAGTATAAAAGAAAACAATTGCATAATAGTAGATGCCCTGATTGTACATTAGAATATCATTTTTCAAACCAGTTATCCTTTATTATTATGAATGATGCAATCCTACTCATGTTAGCTAGCAACCTAATAGCAAGAAATAAAGCTTGTTCTAATTAATGTTTGAGTTAAAATTAACAATACATCCATTACTTTATTTTATGCCCATGCCGATTAGCTAACATGCAGGAGATAATAGTTTTTCCCCTGTTACTTTTTATATCTGTATAGATCTTTAAACAAGAAAGTGATGACAACTACACAAACACTCTCAGGACAAGCGAAAAAATAAATGTATCTTCTGTTGTAGCTTAAATGTAGTAAACTACTAGCACATATTTTAACACAAAATTCTCCTCTTCTGTTCCTCAGGTGGAGAAGGTGATGCCTGCAGACACGTTCTACTTCTCCATCATCCGGGACCCGGCCGGTATGGCTGAGTCCTCCTTTGCCTATTACAAAGAGGTGGCACCTGCCTTTAAGAAAGCCAAGAGCTTGGGCGACTTTGCTGACAACCCCTACAGATATTACGACTCTCGGGTCCGCAACAACTACGCCCGCAATCTGCTGATGTTTGACTTCGGCATGGACAACAGTGCTAACTTCTCATTGGCTGTGGCTCAGAAGGCAGAGACCATGATCCGCCAGACCTTCAATCTGATTCTAGTGTCGGAGTACTTTGACCAGTCCATGATCCTGCTGCGGCACGCCCTCTGCTGGCCGCTGGAAACCGTCGTCTCTTTCAGCCTCAACGCTCGGCAGCAGAAGCCCAGCGACGTGGGGGGGGCTGAGCGGGAGCTTCGTGAGCAAAGCAGCGGCGGCAGCAGGTATCGGGTTCAGAGGGGTACGCCCCCAAGCCAAGATACTGACCAATGTGACGGAGGCACAGCGGGAGAAGCTGCGGCAGTGGAACGCCTTCGACTTGTACTTATATAAAACCTTCAACCGGACCTTCTGGGAGGATATCAAAAGTTTCGGTTACGCCCAGATGGAGCAGGAAGTATCTCTTCTCAGGATGCTCCGGAAAGAAATGGCCCAGGTTTGTCTGAGGGACGGCGGAAAGCCTGTGGAGGGGCGCCGGATCCAAGACAAGAACATCCGCCCGTTCCAGTTGGGATTGTTGCAGATTCTGGGATACGAGCTTCAGCCGGGGCTGGACAACGCCACCAGGGCGGCCTGTCTGAGGATGATCAGACCCGAGCTGCAGTACAAGGACGTGCTGGATGCTAAACAGTTCCCCCGCATGGCCCAGTCAGGGAAGCAGAACCCGGCTCTGCTGGCAGCCGGAGCCTCTCTGGTAAGACAAGACTCACCCAGGACAGGAGAGAGGCCGGCGGAGGGGAATGCTGGGGGGAGGACAGCGGAGTTGAGGGACTGGGACGGAAGCCGCTTAATGAGGAGGAACCAGACTTTGATACAAAAAGTAAGATTGACATGAGGTTTCAGGTGAGTCTCGTTCCTCAATACGGTACCTCTGGTCTCTGAACAAATGGACTGAAAGCTGAGCCGAGTGTGGTTTACACACGAGAAAACAAAAAGGAGGAGCTGTTTGAACTTCCACTTTTTGGTTGTTTGCTTCGTTACTTAAAACCGTTCTTTGCTTTTAGTCGGTGTAATCCTCGTGGCCCTTGACCTCTGAGAGCCTGGGATGCTTTCATGGCTGCAGTTACAAGTGGTAGAATTAACTTTGTTTTTATATAAGCAGACTCAAAGAAACTGTTGGCAGGGACTCTCTGCTTTGCTGACACACAGAAGCCTGTTTTAGTCCTTGTTCATATTTATACTTCTAAGAGGTACGATTTATTTTTTACGTTGTCCTTGGTGCACATGCTTGAAACTTCTCAACGTAAAGGTACAATAAGCCCCAGTATTTGCCTCTCATGCAGTGCCATAACACTGAGTCACTGAGCCTAGCACCTCCCTAAAAGATATATATTTTAAAGTTATTTAATATTTGAATACAAAATAAAGAATTTACTTGGAATATGGGTTGAAAAAAAAAATCTCGCAGAGGATGGAATGTTTTGTATTCACTTGGTTTGAAGAGTCTTTCAATTCTAACAGTTTTTGAAGAAAAGCTGGGAATGTATTAGAAAAACACATGCTAAGCTCTGTGTCTCTAAAGCAATGGTAATACACAAGAGGCTTACATTGGGGTATGTATACAACACTATCTGTTTTTCTTTGAGGGTATGGTTTGTAAAGTCAGTCTTTGCTGGTACTGGTAATGGACACAAATAATGGTGATTTATAACTTACTATTTCTCTCTTTGAAACACTTTGTTCAGCTTCAGAGTCAGGGAGCCCTGTCTAGAACCACTAACCTGAACTGCTTCTTAAATATATTTTAATAATACAAGAGGGGAAAACGATCCGGTGCTTGATACTACCGCAAGCAGGCGGCTGGTTATTATCAGCATTTGGGCACATTCCTTCCTTCCACTATCCGCTAAAGTATCCATCTGTCTCACATATGCAGAGACCATGAAGACCCATTTCCTTGTCATAATGTTTTACAAATGAATTGAATATCAGTGCAGGGGTAAACACATCCAAAAGCAGCTGCATGTTAAAGATGATTCATTATATTGCACAAGGGTGACCTCAACTCCCCCAGTATTCCTTCCAGATAACCGTTGAACGAGTTGGCAGGTATTTTGGGACTTTTCTATATTGTTTTGTCAGACGGAACACAGCAGACAACATAAAGCAGTAGCGTCTTGCTGCAAAGCTCCTGGCTCAACCCACCTTTTGGACCCAGGACCCATCTCCAACGCCATTAATCCATCTACTTGTTAATACAAATGTTTTACATGTCACTGTTCTAAAGACCATTTCACAGTAAATGCTAACATTCTTAATGTTGACTAGCAATACAATTCTATTGAAGCAGTCTTTTGTTATATCATAGGTATCCTTACTAAATAAATTAGCCTACTAAGCCAATATTGTATTCATTTTATCCCTTGCCACAAAACAGCTACACAAGGTAAACAATACAAAGGTTATATTTCGATATAATTCTAACTTCTAATGTTAAGGTAAAAGAAGCAAATAACATGTGATATCCTTATGCGTTTGCTAGCAATAGCTAATGTTAGCTAGCTATACTTATTTGTTAGGGAAATGCAAATGCTTAATAATCATTGTAGCTAACATTAGCCTTTGATTGCTACCAACATTATAGCTAGCCGAGCTAACTCATAAGGCTAGTACGAGTTTGGCTGCTTAAGGTTACGCTACCTAACTAGAAGTTACAGATATTTAAAATATTAGCGTTGTATTATTTATTTAAACTAGTGAATGCATGCACTGGTGTAAACAATTTGCAGATGCCACACACTGTTAGCGTGACACTGTAAAAGGTCTCAGGTGGAGGAGCTGGGCCTGAGCGTGGAGCTCTGCAGCTAGACCCTTCTCACATAATATCACTATCTCAGGCATGAGTTACAGTTTGTCCCTATTCCTGTTCCTCCACATAAACACCAGTTCTGCTTTATTTGGCTCTGAGTAAGGAGCTGGAACTCTTCATCGTCTGTGGAATGCAGCATGTTTACATTAACACTGTCAGACATGCAGCTTGTCACATGTTCAGTCACAGCCTGGTCCTGCATGGTGCTTGCAGATATTTTGTCATTAACATGCTGCTGCATGAAGGATCAAATTGTACTACATGTACTATGTAACACAAACAACCTATCTCTGTCAGGGACAAAACACAGCAGACAGGTTCTCACTTGATTGCCTTATACATACCTACAGTATGATAACAGGAATAACGCTCTGAAATGTGCATGTGTGAGCTCGCTGACATCGCCTGACTGGTTTTTGTAGACGGCTTTGTCAAGAGCTCCATTGTTTATCAGAAACTGTTGAGAAAACAGCGACCCACATGGTTGCACTAAGTGACATGGTCCATGAACTTGGGTACTGCAGTTCATTATGAGAAAACTGCATATTGAATCTGGCAAGGAGTGCTCTATGTTTACACTGCTGAAGGGAGTGGGCAGATCAGGAGAATATATAGCATTAACTTTGAATCAAGAGCAAATAGGGAGGTTTCTTACTAAAATATGTGTAAATAAAAAACGGGGGAATTGGTCTTTGATAGAATCCTGTTTAGCTTACATATTTTATTTAGATCATCACAAAGGACAGTGGGCAGCCATTCTGCAGTACCTGTATTTATAACCTGGTTGTCTCGTGCTGTGGGAGGAAAGTAGAGCACAGACAGGAACCCTGTAATAATAATAATAATGGGTTTCATTTATAGCGCACTTCATATTTGAGTTAAAATCCTGTGTGAGCACCTGCTAGCTGCTGTGGTCTGTGTCATAGCACTTCAAAGTGAGAACTCTGTCTGCTGTGGTTTCCTCTTTCTGCTGTCTGGCAATGCTACACAACACTCTTTCCTGTGAAGATAATAAACAACAACACATTGAAGCACCATGGTCTAATATTTTTAGAGCCATGCAGTCAAGCCATTTGAGAATGATATTGAGAGATTCATATTTTTGCATGAATGAGGGTCTAATAAGCTCCAGGTGAATGAGGTCCGGTGTTGCGAAGGTGCAAATATGAGCCATGTTGTTTTTTATTTCACTTTAGCTGTTTTCAACATCACAATATTCAGTATTATTTATTCACATGTTGGCACTTTTCATAGTGAATTGTTGTTCACTTGTTGACGCTTATCTTGGTACAGATGATGCAGCTGAAATTACATTTGAGTGCTGATATCTGAAAAATAATGCACACCCTTTGACCAATCAGAACTGAGTATTCTCCATGGCCATAGTATAAATGTAGTATTGTACAGATCATGTGTAAGAATGTACATGTGTAAATGTACATGTAAAGGAATATATTTACAAAGCCCAAAGTGGAAATAGGGGAAAAAAATAGATAGGTGAAAAAAAGGATACAAACTTTTGCGTTCTCCTGAAAATCGACAACAAATATTCATATTTCCAAGCTACAACTAGCTGTCATAGGGATAATAAATGATAAAAATAGTTAGAAATGGACATTTTTAACAGAAGAACGCAATTTTTTCATCTATCCATTTGTGTGTATGTAGGAGCTCTGATTTTGGGTCTCTTTAAAACGTCCAATATTGAACATTTGACTGATTGATGCTAACAAAAGTCTTTCCACAGCACAGTAGTGTGTATTCTCCATCCCGTGCACTGTGAATAGTGTCACCTTACAGCAGTTGTCCTTCTGCGGGGATTGGGTGCACTGCATTGTGCTTCCTCCAGTGAAACGGAGATTGTTAATCAGCTTACAGTCTTAAGTTAAGACACTGAGTCAAAGGGATGAGAAAGTATTAACTTAGATTTAAAAGGGACATACCTGTGTTTATTTATGTTCCCTCCTTTCATGCAAACATTGACTTATAAGTATTTCACTATAATCTGAAACTAACTTCAGTTACATAACCCACTGTGTATCACAGTGCTGCACGGCTATGTCCTGCAACCCTCAAATATTATTATTGTTGTTTATTTTAAACTCAAACATGAATATTTTTAACATCCAATCTTTTTAATGTGAAAGAACACCATTTTCTTTAGTGCCACCACCAGGACACACTCTATATGTTCGGCTCATCAGGATGTCGGTCTAACGTTATTATTTGTACCATAATTTAATTGTGATGATACAAACAGGCCTCATGTGCTTGTATTACAATGAAGAACTGTACTAGTAGATGCTCGCTGTTCTGGGTCACCACTGTTTAATGAACACTAATGCACAAACAGATTTGTTTCATGCCTTAGGATGCAGTTATAATATTATTGACCCCGGCTTTTAAACAATGTCCTTCTGTATTTTCTTTTATATCTACCATTTGTACAGACTGTATTTATCGGGGTTGGTTAGGGACGACGAGGGGAAGGGTGTTTTTGTCACAGTATGATGGAATTTATTATTGATGTGATGAGAAAACATACATTCAGCTCATCTTCAATGTTCAGTCAGTGTTGAAACACTGATGACAAATTGCCATCATTAATTATGGCAGGGTCATAATTCAGTGTTACTAAGAAAACTGTGATTGTACGGTTATATCAAGCTGTTGTCTTTCAAAACGTCCACATTTAGACATTTCGTTAATTGTAATTAAATACAAAATAAGTCAAGTCTAATACCTGAGAAAAGGATAAATAATAACACTGAGCATTACTGTGATTATTTCAGATGGGAATTTATCTCAAGACGACCAGAATATTAAGTGTTGATCATAATGCTTACAAATGAGAGCACAGCCACTAAATTATCCGGTCCTTGAGTGGTAATTACGAGGTAGAGATGTAATACTTTATCTTTTAATTTAGAGATAATGAACCTGTAATGAAAGTCAAATGAAAACTGCTTAATTTCGATGCCCGTCTTCCCACATGCAGCATTGTTTTTATTCTTCCAGTGGAAATCTCAGCTATGGTACAGTGTGATTTATCACCTCATTTGAACAGCTTCCATCTCTACTTTTCACAACACTGGGTTATTACTGACAGGAAATCATAAATGGACCTGATCATCTCTCTAGGTGTTACAGATTTCACTGGACTGGAAATGCAAGTTCAGAAAGCAACGGTGTACTTTGGCTTGGATCTTACTTGAAAATGTTATTTTTGGGGTGAAACTGGTACTACGTGTGCATCCATTGAGGTTTTTTTTTCTTGTACTGAATAAAAACAAAATTTCTTTAACTCAACTTCCTCGTCTCCTTTCTTATACTTTATATTTCTTCTCCTACTACACCTCAAATGACAATATTTTATTTTTTACCCTTCTAGCCTACATTCTTTCCCAGCTGTAACATTATCATTCATATTTAACATTATTAAACATGATCTGCTCTATGAATATGTTTTATTGTTACATATGAAACTAACGTATAATATATTGTTGTATGATACAAGAAAAAATTGCTCCACCATCAATCAGCTGCAAAATTAAATTCTGCTTAGACATAATACATCATTAGTAACAACACAATAATATTATTTTATGAGTAATAATACTAAAGACGCAATTGCCCATGAACCCCCTTGTAAGTACATATAGCTGATTATAGGCAGTGGTGTAAAGTAACTCAGCAGATTTACGCAAGTTATGTATTTAAGTAAAAATGTGATGTAAATCATGTACTTTTACTCCACTACATGTATTTAATAGCTTTAGTTACTTTACAGATTTGGATTAATGATGTGAAATATAATCAACTCTTAAATCAGACTTTAGTTCCACCTGGAGTAAATTCACAAGCTTCCCTGCAGTATACAAAGTCATTCAAACTAGCTGCACCTTTACCAGCTTTGCTAACACAAGATCTGATTAAAGGCCAACTTATATACTCTTTTCTTCAGTATATTTTTAAATGTAATACTTTTTTTCATTGCTATAAATTATTTGTACTGAAATTATTTTTTTCCACTTATGGTAATATATCACAATAAAGCCCTGGTTTGACTGTATTTGAATATGTTTGGCTCTGTGATCTACCTTCAGGTGATTGATTAGTATGGTCTGGAAAAGCTCTGTTTCGATTAGCCGTCCTGTTGTTTGTATTGCGACTCGGTAAACGGAAGCTCCACGGAACAAAAATGGATATGAATGGTTTGAACGTTACTTTAATTCCGTTACACTGTTTTATTTAATTTCTGACACACGGACATACGGGCTACATGAAAAAAGCGGACGTGGAACCTCGCTTTTTTTACACGGCAGCATATGGTTAGGTTCTTTAATGATGGAGTCCCAATGCGAGTACTTCATGTATTTCCCTGCCGCTCCAATATCCACTCTGTCAGACCCGGCGGAGTATACTACTCTCCCGCGGAGAAAGCACGTCTACCTCGGGGAGGTGGTGCAGTTCCTGCTGGTCCTGCGGTCCCGGAAGGCGGCGGGGAAGGATGACAGCCCCGGGGTTTTACCGTGGAAGGAGATGGTGAGTTCACTGTCAGCTCAGGCGAGTGTGTGCGTCGCAGAGAGCCGTGTGCAGAGACCCAGCGAGTACCAGCCCGACATCCAGAGCACCTGCAGCGCGGACAGCGGGGAAGAGGAGCCCGGGGAGGAGAGGGAGACTGGAGGAAAGAGACCGGACAGTACCCGGACCTTCATACAGTGCACCCCGCATCTCACTCACAACAGCTCGGCCAGAGATGGGCGACAGTGTGGGAAGGAACCGGTGCAGGTAAGAAGGGAAAAGTAGGATAAAGAAAGTGTGAATAAAGGGGAATTACTGTTATTAAAGTAGTTAACACTGACTGTTAATATGATGGAGAGAACGACTTGATAACTTCCTTTAACATTTAACTAATTGCTTCTCAGTATACTCCCATACCTTCAGTGTAACAGGAAGTCACCTTTACCTATTTCCAGTGGTGTAAAGTAACTAAGTAGATTTACTCATGTACTGTACTTAAGTACAATTTTGAGATAGTTGTACTTTACAGAGTATTTAAATAGTTTGCTTCTTTTTACTTTTACTCCACTACAATTCAGAGGTAAATAGTGTACTTTTACTCCACTACATTTATTATGTAATATATATTATGCAGTATATATGTGTACATATGATAAAAGGGACAACTGGATAACTTCCCTAACTCTTTACTTCCCATTATAAACCCACTCTCATACCTTCAGTGTAACAGGAAGTAACCTATACCTATTTACTGAATTAAGGGGAAACCAAATCAAAGTCATTTATACCCTGACCTTTATTGTTCTGCTTGATTTCATGAGACAAAGCAGCCAGTTATTTCTGTCTGTTGCAATAATCATTGTGCTTCAGATGTGTTGAGACCTGACAGTGAAGTAATGTCTCCAGGGGCTTTAAACCAGCTTCAGTCTCTACCTGTGTGCCTGCTAGGCTGAAGACAGGGACGTATACAACATACACAACCTGTGAACCACAGTAATGGCTCAGACAAAAATGTGAACATTTGTGGTCCATTTCTATAGGTACTCTCAAAAACTGGGCATGTTCTGGTCTAAAATGTGCCTGTTGCCTTACTCTTCATCTTAAAACTAAAACAGTCTTATATTTGAGCCTTTTTTCTCAATAAAAAAAAAATTGACCTATTTTTACTTGTCAGGGCAGAATCTTGTGTTTATAGAAAACAGAACCTTTGGCATATCATATGGTGTTCAATTACAGTAGAGAGGTTATGGTAATACAGCATCCCTTTATTTATATGGCCCATCATTATAGTCTCATTAAAACGTAGTTGAACTTCTAGTTGTTGGTTAATGAATACTGTGCTAATTTATTTCACAAATTGTCATTTCCTACACCTCCAACATCTTGTCCTCTGCAGTCCGCTCTGGTTTTGGATGACCAGGTTGTCTTCTCTCTCACCGTCTCTTTGGACAAGCTGCCAGCCAACACGCTTAAAGCCAAGGTGAGATGCACAAATACTGGGACGACATGACAGTACATACCGTGGGAGCAGGGTTAGGAGGGTTACTTACAAATGTAACCCGTTATAATAACTAGTACCGGTAAAAAAAGGTAATCATTGACGTAATCTGAGTATCACAATATCAAAGTAATGATACCTGATTACTTTCTGTTACTTTTGGATTACCTCAATATCAAATGCAATGCAGATAAAAACAAGAGAAAATAAATATCAATAAGATGTTTTTAACTTAAGTGTATTGAAGATAATACACAGAAGTTAACAGAACAATATGACCTTAGAAAAGAAGAAACCAAGATATTTAGGATAAAAGATGTCATCTTATATTTTAAGATAGAAAAGTATATTATACAAATGCTGTTTTAGTTTAACACATTAATTAAAAGCAAACACAGTATAAGTTTGTTCAATAAATCAGGTGTCCTGCTACTGAATTTAAAAACATTTTTAAAGAATAAAAAGTAGACTAACTGAAAAGCAAAAAGAAAATTCAGACAGTACGTCTGCCCATAATATATCATTCTTTATTATAAAGCGCATTATACAATTGTAATGCTGCTAATAATCCCCATTAAAAAAAGTACCAGTAATCTGATTACATATTTTTGTATGTAACAGTAAGGGAATACAGTTATGTTTCGTTTGTAACCTGATAACGTAACCCTGTACATATTATCCGTGACTCCCGTAGCCTGCGTGGGAGGATATATATTTGTGAATCAGACTGGTTTTTAAACAAACACCATCTTAGACTAACTTATTATGAAGCCAAATCAATATAAACAACACATATATAACTTTTACTTTGTGTTTTTGTCAGATTGTAGTGACTGTGTGGAGTCATGAGGATGAGAAAGCAGAGGTGAGGGAACATGGCTACTTGACCCTTCTCCAGCTCAAGAGCCCAGTACACACCTTCAGACAGGATCTCACCACCTTCAAGGCGCAGGGTAAACACACCAGACCTGAGCTCTGCAACTCAAAGAGTTCTGTGGTCTTAAACTTGGGACTTTTCATTCTGAGGAATGGCATACTAAATGTGCTTGTTTGTTTTTTCTGTTTCTTATTTCCATTCCCAGTCAGCACCATCATGAATGTTCTACCACCTCCCAGTGTGCAGTGTCAGCACATGGCTGTCTCTGGAAAACACCTGACTCTCCTTAAAGGTAGACAACTATCACACACTCACACACACATACAGATCTTCGAAGACACCACCTGTGATAACTCTTCTCACCCCCCCTCTCTCTACAGTGTTGAACTGCAGCTCTCAGGATGAGGTGTGTGTCAGAGATGTGAAGATCGTTCCCAACTATAACTCCTCCTACCTCCCCATGATGCCAGATGGTTCAGTTCTCATAGTGGACAATGTCTGGTGAGTACATGTGCACTTACTGTATACTCTAGGATAAACACACATATGTCCATACCCCTACACTGTTGCTCTTCCTGAGATACGGATTGTTAAATAGGACATGTCCTGCTCATTTTCAGGTGTATATCAGTATGTAGTATCTCTACTGGGACGTGTCTCCATGCTTTAATGTTCAAAAAGCTCTTTATTTTTCTCATACTGCCTGTGCTGCAGCACCTCTTTTCACCCTCTGTCTGAAACCAGAGCCCAGTCTGCTCTGATTGGTTAGCTGGCCGGCTATGTTGTCATGGGTCAGGTGCTTAGAGGTGTCACTCCTCTTAGCCTATCATGTACAATGTGTTGGAGCGCTAGACGATAGAAGAGCGAGTGTTATATATATTAATATATATATATATATATATAAAACATGCTTTTTTTAAATGATTATTTTAAGAAATGATTTGGTTACAAGGAATACATAACAAAAGGAACTTTTGAATACATTAAGTAACTACATAACAATCAACAAATCATTAAAAAAAAAAACGGATAACCAAAGTATATAGTTGACATTAAAACTCATACATACATTAATTGTCACATCTTGGTCATTAGCATATAGCATGTTGTCATATAGCAATCTATTTATGAAAACTGTCATACTCTAGTATTAAGTCCAAGTCACTATATGCATGAAATCGGTGTAAAAAAGGTTGACTTTCTATATGCAATAACATCAGATGGATCTTAATTTGCATTTATATCAGTGACATACTCTGAGACATCCAACATCATAGCACTACTGTTGGTGCAATCTGAGTGAAATCATCTGTATAAACACACTTACAGCCCTAATAATCTTGAGTGTATTGTGCTCAGGTTTACAGCAGCTGCAATGCACTAGTAAGGCTCAGCAAAGGAGGACATTAAACATCCATACAGTAGAAACTCTCCAAATTCCTGCTGCAGCTGTATCCACTTCCCCTCTTTCCATATTTCTGAACCTTTGCCATAAACATATTGAGTTATTTATTTATTGGCGTCAATATGCTTTTTGCACGAGGCCCACAGAGTAAAGTTAAGCTTGATTTGAGCTGTCGTACAGAAACTATAAGGTCTTCTACTCGGAAACTGAACAATTTGATTGCTGATTAACTTAAATAAAACTTTCGTAACCAACTTAGCCTCAGTTTTAATAAGAATATGTTGTCATGCTAACATGCTAAACTAATATAGTAAACATGGTTAACGTTATAAAATGTAAAGAATCAGGAGCTGTGTTTTGTGTTGTTTAAAGTCGCCTAAAAACCCCTTCTTTATTTCCACTTCCCGCTAAAGCCACCAATCAGCTGAGGTCACCGTGGCTTCATTCTGTCGGATAGATAGCGGGTCATCGCGTTTACCCAGCATGCTCAGCGCCCTTGAAGAACAGACCTTCCTGTTCCAGCTGCAGCTACAAGACACAGCAGAGGAGTACTCTAGTGAGGTGAGAAAATGATGGAGGCAGCTTCTTCCTGGTCAACTTTAATAAAAGTTTTACAATGATCATTTTTCACACATCTCAGAAAGCTTGATATGAAGTCATTTGTCAATCTCATTTTATTGAAAGCAACAAAAAGAAAACACTTGTACTCAAAAAGATTTCCTTTAATACACTAACTATACATTCATCTTCTATTTTACTTTGGTAAATCTATTTTTGGACCTTAAAATATTTGTCCTGATATATGTTTTTCACAAGAGATTTGAAGAATAAAAAAATATCGAGTTTCAACGTTTCCACTTTAGGGCCAAGTTATCTCTTCTCTTCTTTATTACATTTGATTTAGCTGACCCCCTTTTCCAAAGAAACATATAATAAGTGCAATCAATCATGCGGGACGACATTTAAAACAGCAATAACCTGTTAGGACATTAGTTGTCAATAAGCCAAACCATTGTCATTTCTACATACAGAAGAGAGAAGTGTCTTTTTTTGGCCAAGCCACAAGAAACAATGCAAAAATAGCAAAAGTGCCTGTCACACAAGGAAGTAGTGTAAACAACATAGTGTAGGGACTATTTTCAGTGGCGGATTAATCAACATTTTTGCTCTAATGAGTATTTTTGGCATCAGGACGTAGTGCGAGGGATTTAGTCAAAGATAAACTAGTGTTTTTTCATGCTAATGCTAACCATGTGGCTCATTTATGTGTTTTTAACTGTTGTTGTTCTTAATATGTCTTCATATATTTATTGTATGTATTTCTCTAGGGTTTGGAAGTCCCGCTGGTGGCTGTGTTACAGTGGTTTACTCCAACACTCCCTTTAACAAGGTAACTGTTTGTCTTAGTTCAACATTTACTTAGCGTCGCTTAGCAGAATGTATTACGGTGAAAACAATGTGGTACAGTATGACAATCAAAGGTTCAGAGATAGTTCTGATTGTTTGAAGTTGGGTTATATGAGGTACACGTCAATAGGCCATGGTAACCACGGTGCATTCTGGGGGGTTGATGCCATCTTTGGAGGATCGCGTCTATAGCAACGGCAGCAGCCGTCAATATAAATCAACGTTTCATGGTTATCTGTCAGCTTTTTGCATCAGAACTGTATAAAGTATGTGCAAAATATAAATGCCCTTCCAAAGAGAAGGCAGAAACTGAGAAGGGTTATTTAAAAGAAAAAGTGAATTAATGACATCTGTCCGTATTAATCAAGAGAAAAACGGACCTATCACTGTTACCGATGTCGCTCCTATCTGGGGTTAGTGTCTACTTAAAAATATGTAATATTCAGAGGCTCATGTCAGGTTTACAAACGGGGGGGTACAGGACCCTCAGATCAACTGGTTTTAACGACTATAGAGTCATCTGGACACATCTAATCACAGCTAATGCAGCTAATGCTAATGCTATGCTAACTTAGTGCTAGCAAAATGCACAATTAATCTCCCAGTATATGTACGTATACTGCCATATTTCCTGTTTTAAATCTTATTCCCAGTGTAGTGGTTTGTGTCCTCTAGTTCAGCAGATGGCTGCAATCGGACTTAATTTAGCGCCATTGCTGATGTTTGCTACGTCTCCTTTCTTTCCCTGTTAGTTTAAATTATAAAATGTTATCCCATGGTCCTTTTTTTGTTTTGTTTATTTGTCATTATTGGAGTGGCTGTAACAGCCAGTGACATAACAGTGCCTACGGACCATGTTTAAAAAGTTTAAAGAGGAAAAGGAATGCTACTCTGCTCGCTGTACGGGTTCAGTCAACAGCTGCAGACCAGAAACGTGTACATTCTGCAAGGCATTATGAACGTTTTTATCAATGGAGTCTGGTGGCTCCGGCCAGGACATAGTTTTGGATAACACACATTCTTTCTGTCAGGAAGGGCTGTCCACAGGAGCAGTTTACCTTCTACAACCTAACTTGTAAATATTAAAACTATAATTAATCATTCATTTTATGGACATGTCAAAGCAGGAAAAATACAGACTGGATTACAGCTGTCCTATGACAGGCCAAATGTCTAACATAAATGTCTATTGAAGGAAATGAAAATATGAGTTTGCTTTCTCTACAGATACATCTCTAGTTGTTACTCGTTGCCTAGCATCCGCCTGGATCGCCCTCGCCTGGTGATGACAGCTTCCTGTCCCAGGGCGGTCCGGCCTCTGGAGCACTTCTGGGTCAAATACACCCTGCTCAACAACCTGCAGGACTTTCTGGCTGTCCGTCTGATCTGGAATGCTGACGGTGAGTAGCAGATCTCACACCGGACAATCTTGACTCCTCCAACCAAAAGACCTGTCCCACCTGGCTTAGTGCTGGTTAGTGACACACAGCAGTTTGCACCACAACACCTGAAGACACATTGTGTCGTTGCTTTAGTTTTCATTCAATTTGATTTGATTACTTGACAATAGGGAATGGCAATGTGACGTCATCAACAGCAAGTCGTCCATCTTTAGAGGATACGAACGACGTTAAACGTTTTACATGGTCGGTAGGCACTTTTATGTCATGACATGGGCCTCTGGATATTTGATATTTTTAAATTGCTGACAGGTGACTCCAAACACCACAGAGGGCTGACATTTGTAACAGTAATTGTTCTTCTCTTAATTCATACAGACAGATGTCAGTAATTAACTCTCTTTTTTAATAACGCTCCTCTGTCTCCGGCCAGAGCTTCTCTTTGTGAGGGCATTCATATTTCGCACATACTTTATTCGTTTACAAAGCAAAACTGCTGACAGATGACGGTGAACTGCTGAATTATATTGACGGTTGCTGCTATTGCTATAGACGCTATCCTACAAAGATGGCAACGGCCCAGAATGCACCACTGTTCCCATTCCCTATTTAGGAGCGAAACAAATTATAAAGTCAACAATGGTTCAGGCACTTGTATTACAATGGAGATCTGTTCATTACATACTTACCACAGGCTGTTTACATTAGTGAAGGGTAAAGTGAGACATCCTGATCCAGCTGTGATCATGACTGGGTCAACGTCCAGATGTGTAATCTTCACTACAGTCAGCGTGAAAAAAGAAAAGGTTGCACCCTGTGAGATGTGTTGGATGGGTGTGTCGGGGTTAAAGCCAGCTGTGATGAATTCCACGGGTCTAATGTACAGTATGTTAGTAAGGTAGGGTTGTATTACTACAATGATATCTGAGTAAACAGCGATTTGATTATCATACAGTGTGCATTTGTTTATCTAAGGTGCAAAACTGACCTAAGTGAGGTTTTCTTTATATCGTATGAACAGACCGTTTTCCATTGTGCAACCCTGTGTATGACAAAATAGCACTTGAATACATTACTTGAATGTTCTTCCCACCTCTGTATATTGCAAAGTGTTAGTGTAACAAAGAGAGGACAGTACATAATTAATATTTAAAACGCTCTATACAAAGTCTTAATCAAATTTACAGTGAGTCAACAAGTTATTCTTATATTAATCTGATATTATTTGTCCCTCCTCTCATCAGCTGCTCTTGGAGGCCAGCAGCACCATGGTGGGGGGGCGGTGGTGTGCCAGTCTCCCCTCAACAACCTGGGTCAGTGCAGGAAGGGCTCCACCCTCTCCTTCACCGTGGCCTTCCAGATCCTCCGCACCGGACTCTTCGAGGTACTGTTGCTGCTCATACATTAGTTAGTTCATTCAGTGATTTTTAACGCAGGAAAATGTCCCAAAAAAGATGATTTACTTGCTAAAATAATTTTCAATTGTTGAGCACTGTGCCTGCAATGCAGTGGCCGGCAAAGTAATCAAATACTTAGACGTCTTCTCCAAATGAAACACCAGCCATTTCAAAAGAAGAACATGGCTTATTTGGTTCGCCTGTGTAAACAAACCGGGAAACAGGCAACTTTTATGAGAGAAACTACAAAGGTTTCAGAGATACGGATATCAGGATATCAGCTTTGTGTTCATCTAAAAAGGCCCAGGTATCACACCGAGTGAGTCTCAACAAACTGACAGACTTTTCATTCCAATGTCATTATAAACGCTCAGGCTACAATGTAGAACATGTACAGCCATAAAGGTAGAAAAACACTGCGTTCATTTACCCAATCAGCAGTGATACTCAAAGTGCTCTCCCATCCTCCCCCCCCCCCCCCTCTCTGTAGCTGAGCCAGCACATGAAGCTGAAGCTGCAGTTCACAGCCTTGGTGTCCACCCCCCCGGTGGAGCCTCGCTCTCCCTCATCATCCAGCCCGGGGGTCCGAGAGCTGCTGGAGAGACAGAGCGTGGGCCGCTCTCACAGCTTCTCCCACCAGCAGCCCTCCAGAGCCCACCACGTCAGGTACGGACCGATAATAACTCTAACTTGCATATTTTGGGCAATCTAAATTAGCACAAGGGAAAATAATAAAAAAATGACATGGCTGATTTGGAAGACTTTGGGGTGGTTTTAGGGGTTATTGAGGATCCTGAATCCATTCCCGACATGGCAGTTTTAACCAGAAAATGGCGATATTTGTACTCTTGGTGGGCTGATTTAGATTGATTTTGGGTTGATTACTTAGTTAGCTTGAATACTACAACTGGTGTTAAAATGAGCCCACCAAGTTAAAAAATAACCCACAAAACTGTCCAAATCGGCCACTTTTTAACGATTGTCCACATACTTATTTATGCTAAATAACAACATTTATGCTAATTGTGCAAATTGCCCAACATATGCAAGTTAGCATCCAGCCGTTTCTATGAGCTGGAGACCCTACTATACATTTCTATCATAGAACGTTGGTCTACTCAACATTTCCTGGTACACAATAGGACTCTATGAGCTGGCAACAAGATCCCTTATCTCATCTGCTCCTTTAGGCTTCAGATTCTTACAGATTAGGATATCAATGTTTATCAAATGTGTGTTCTTATTTACAGAAACATTTCTAAGATCTAAGTGTCTCACAGTTAGATCTTCCATTTGTTTCAGAGGAATACAGATCTGGAATGGCCTTCCAATCATAACAAACAACTGCCCCTCGCTGCATTGCTATAATAAATACCTCAAAAAGAATTTTGCCAATATATCAGCGACGTGCAGTCAGTGGAGGCAGGGGAGGCAGAGCCTCACCTGTCATACTCCAATGTAACGGAAAAACAATTAAAGAAAAACTAAATAGTAATAATAATAAAATGTCTCCACTGATCTGTGTTGTAAATGTGATTTCTGTATGATTCCAATCGCATTTTATAGTCAAAATCAGCAAATTGGCCGAGCTCCGCTACGGGAGCGATGAGAAGTGAGGCAGGCACGAGCACTGCCTCTCGTAAGCCTACAGTAACTTGCGGGAGCGCGGGCACTAATTTAGCGCGGCCACTTATTTTGTGAGCGCGCTCAAGCCAGTTACTGTGGGGTGACGCATTCTGAGGTGAGGCACAGATGAGCTCTGCCTCAATTCAGAATGCGTCACCCCACAGAAACTGGCTGGAAAGCGGGCCCTAAGCGCATGCCTGTTCCCATCTCACTGTAGGTCACCAATGTAATGTTTCTAGATCCCTTTATTACATTTATCCTCGCCATCCATAGTCTCTAAATAACTTATTTCACGTATATATGATATTTAGGCTCGCTACACATATACAACGGCAATGAAAAAATCACCAGGGGAGGCAGCCATAACCTCTGCCGCACTGAAGGGGGCGCACGTGAGCCCACAGGTTCTTGTTGCTACTGTTATTCTACCGCAAACAACAAACTAGACTTTTGAAACTACAGGAAGATAAGGAGGACTTTTACAAAACAGTAATAGAGATTGTTGTCCAGAAGGATAGCATGGACTTCTATTCATCTTCAAGTCAAGGTAAGACCACAACTGTAATGAAAATGGGATCTTACTTAGAAAGAACAATCCAATATTTAGATTTTGGGTATCCTTTTGTTGATCGGTCTGTTTAAAATTAATCATAGCATCAGACTAAAAAAGCTTTTGAAAATAACAGAATATTTCGATTAAGGTCAAAATAGGCTATAATATTTGTAAATCTGACTCTGAAAGAGTCAGTGCCTCACCAGCCATGAACCTCACCGCACGTCACTGCAATATATGATATCTGGTTTTCATATTCAAATCAGTGTTATTATATTTACATTTTAAGTATGAATATGTTGTTCTTAAAGTGTGCCATTGTTTGTATATTGATCTTGTGTTTTATATACAATTTAGATTTTTTTACATTATTTGTAGAGTCTTTAAATAAGTCCAATTTAGTTTTTTTGCCTCTTCCTGCACTGTTTATCATCTGTTATCTGTTATGTTTGTGTAATTTTAAATTGTGCTAAACCATTAAACCATCACATAGTCAGGGTAGAGCAGTGTGCCGCATTCAACGTCTGTCTTTCAAGTCTAGAAATGGTGTGCTTCATTCAATATTGACTTTTCCTCAGGTAACGGATCCTCTTACATCACACATGTGGTGCAGGACGTGAATGATGTCTCTCCCCCTGTGCCTCTCTCTGTTGTGCAGGTCAGGCAGTGTGATGGAGCGGCGGACCATCACCCCTCCTGTAGGACCTCCAATGGGGAGGGGTCTGTACCGGCCCCCTGAAAACGGCCTCATCTCCCTGGACAAAATAGCCAAGAGAGAGTGTAAGGTGCTGGTGCTGGAACCAATGATAGACACACCCTGCAGGTAAGAAACCACTTTTTATAAAATGACAGATGATTAGAATTGTATGTACATGTATATATTGTAATATATATATTATTGTAGTACAATGTGCACATTTGAACATACTTTTTTTGTCGTATTCTATTTTTTGTTATTTTCAATAGGACATTTCTACTTTAACTTCTTATTTTTGTATAAATAACTTTAATCTATTGTGTTGATTTTATTTATTTTTAACTTGATCCTAAGATTCTGATTCTGTATGATGGTTGTTTTTTTCTATTAAAACCAGCATCACATTTTACTTTTAATTTGGTGCTTCTCAAAATGAAAGATTTTAGATTCAGATTATTTCCTTTAATGATTTTATCTTTCATGAACTACATCACAATAACATTTAAATAAACTAAATCACTTTTTTCCATTTCCTCTTAATAACCTGGTTTCTTAAAATGGGTACATTTCTTCTGTTACTCCAACTTTGGCTTCTTTTGATTAATGATGACAGGGTTTGGTGAAAAACATGTTTGTATTTCTCAAAGGAAAGTATTGAGAAACATCTAAGGTCTCATATTTCTGTAATGTTGGAATATGTTCAGTGACTGGCAGAGGTCAGTGTGAGTGTTGTTAGTGCCACCATGAACAGACAGTTCCCTCTTGTGGAGGATCTTCATGAGGATCCCCATTAGCACTAGCATTAGCATTAGCATTGGTATTCTTCCTGAGATCCACACACACACAGTCACATCAACTCAGCTTATGTAATGAACAGACAAGGATACGTCCTTGTCTAAAATGACCTTGCTTTGTTTATTCATCTATCTTTTAGACATATTAACCCTTAAATGGGCAATCACATATAAATAATATGTATTGCTATTTTCTACATTACAACCATATTACACTTTTATTATAACTCCTATACACCCCTATTAAAGCACTATTACACTTGTATTCCACCCACATTCCACCCATGTAACACTCTTATTGCAACCATTTATGGACACAGAAACCATTTAAGGGTTACATTCCAAGAAAATAGGGTATTTAAATTATAACAATTAAATAAATCTTTTTTTTTAAACTCTCTACTTTCACCCTTGTTTACATTTTGTGTTTTGTTTATAGTATACATACACACCGACCCAGCTCAATTATAATTTCTGAAATGAAGATATTGTTTTAACAAACAGATCTTAAGTTTTCTCTAATAATAGGAAAAGGGGGTGATCTGCCATTAAGGTTTAAGCTATATTCTTAGGATTATTTGCACAATCATGCATATGTAAAATGATGGAAAAGGTGCATGTTTAATGGACATTGTTCTTGGGATTGCTTAAAAGCCGACAAAGCAGCTAAAGGCTTCAAAGACACAAAACTTCCACTAATACCATGATTACTTTTTCACTGTGATTCTTCACTCTGTTCCCCCTCAGATGACCCTGAGAGCAGAGTCTTACCGCAGACACACATTAGTGTTGGACACTCTGTCAGCTGACTCTGAAGGAGACATGACGAGGATGGAGTGATGGACGGAGGAGCAGAGAGGGGGGGGGGGGGGTGATGGAGGGATGCTGCTGGCCTTCTGTGGAACCGCAACAATTCTTCATCTCATTGGTTTATCATTTCAATTTATTTGGTTTTTTACATTTCCTTCAAGCTATCATTCCATTTTACTCAATGGGTTATCCTATGTCTGTGAATTCTGCTTATATTTATACTTTATAGGACACAACCGTGATTGTTTTTTCATGGCAGCTCTTGTTTTCTTGTAGGATCTAATCAGGAGATCCCAGATTTCCTGCCATTGTCAGGTCTGGGAGCACAAATAGTGCTGGATGCTCACAGCAGTCTGTTTTCATACATAACAGTTTGTGTAATACACCTATTGCCATAACACACAGAGACCGTAAGATTGCATTCTTTTGGATTCATGGTACTTGGTTGCCCAAAAGCCAACAAAGTCCGCTGGGTTTTGGTTGGAAACATCCTAATAGGACAGTTTGACCAAGCCATTGTTGGTGAACATATATATATATATATATATAGTAGTTCAAACAATAACTGCTCCTGTGTATTACAAATATATACCATGTGGATCACAGAGCTATGGGGTTGATGGAAGGTGTATTTATATTTATTGTGACAGAGCTCAGCTAGCCATTTCCAGATTTTGTGCTAAGCTAATGTTCTGAACCTATTTCTGTGCTTAACCTACTGATGTAAAACTTGATATACCTACCTACTTACAATCCATATTCAGATTTAAAGTTCTTTAACTGGACTACTGACATTATATATTATTGTTATAGGTGTGCACTGGATGAAAGCTGCATCTTAACTTAAAATTGAAGGGCTGTTTTGCTGCTTTCCCCACAGAAAGTTGGTATTTTTTCAAAATAGTAAAGTATTTAATTGAGTGTGATCCACCTCTAAACTAGTCTTAACACTGGCTGAATTATGTAAGTGTTATTGTATATATTTATTGTTGAGTTGGAGTGTTAATATTCAGGTTTTAAATGTATGTTTTTGTCTTTTATTTGACCCTTCGTATACACTCCATTGTCGGTGCACAGGGGGGTCTCCTTATTTCAATATCCAGTCCTTTGAACCCTGGAATTCAGCATTTGTTACATAATAGCTGACTTGCATGTATAATGTGTGGCTCACCGGGTCCAACTGATATCAAAGGGTTTTGTTAAGTTCATTTCCTACGTTTTTTTTTAACATTCCTAAAATTCACATCCCCAGCATTTCGTTAAAGAACTCTTAAATGAAAAATGAAAGTTTGTTAGTAAGACCGATCATTTTCTTTTTAGGAGACACCCAGGGTGCTTCGAAACACAACCCTTTTTTTGCGATCTTATGATAACGAAAAGAGGAACCATGTTTTGTAATTCTTTGAGTATTTTAGTTGTTTGTTTGCAGAATACATTACTCAAAGGACGTTGTAAAATCTTGACAAGAAAAACTGAAAGAATTATAATTTATTATTGAAAACATTATTGTTTCTACGTGTGGAATTATGTGACTTATTTGACAATGTTCAAATAGCTGTCCTGCTGTGACTCACTAAAAGTCAACAATGTCGTCCCAATAATCAGTACCAAATTGAATCACTTACTTTCTAAGAACTTACTAGAAAATGTTGAGCCAGTAAAGTAAAACTACCATAACAACAGAAATGGTTGTTAAAACATGAAGTGTTGTCACTGATTCCAATTCCAATCATTTTATAAATCCAACTTGTTCAGTGTGTTATGACATTAGTTTTAAGCTTTTTCTCGTTTACAGATGTGACCTACATCTGGAGAGTGGATGTTAACATTAGGATAGCAAAGACCCTGCTAGAGGCTGATCAAGTGTTGGCAAGAAAGACCAATGTGCTGAGGATCTACTGTAAAGAATGACCAGAAATGGTGCTTGAAGCAAACAAAGCTGATCTTTGGAGGTTCATCCCCCTGAGAGCTTGACTGTGTTGTTAAAGAGATGATATATTTACCTTAAAGACTTGGAGATGCAGTAATGTATGGCGAAGATGTTGAGAGGGTTCATCCTCTGGGGAGCATACATGTGTACAAACTGTAAATGTCATATCTGTACTCTGCTTATTAGATGTTTCTTTAATGTATATTAGTTTGAAAAAAGGTTCATCCTCTACAACAATGAATGTTCCCAGCACATGTTCTGTACATCTGACCAAAGTGTTGGTTGCAGGGAGTTGACAGACAAAAGGTCATGGGGTCAATAAAGTTGTAGGATCTTCCTCTGAGGTCCCTGAACAAAACCTAATGGGAAGCAAGTCCGTCGTTGAGTTAAAGAATGTGTGTATTTGATCATCCGAGGGTTTAAGCTACACACACATTTTAGACTTATCGACCCCCAACATCTTTCATCATCATTGGTATGACTACTAACTGTGTATCCTGATCTTGAACCTCGTCTCAAAACACTGGATTGCTTAGAGAGTCACATATTCAGTTTGCAAGTAAGCTAATTGTTTTGTAAGCGATGTTTTGGAGCTTCCATTTTCTGCCTACATGGCAAATAAAGTTTAGCTGGGTAAGGTCTCTGTCTCTGAGTGATATTCTGTGGCCAGGCCCTCCCCTTTGACCTCTTTGCCCTCCCCCACACAAGTATTATTGTTTTAAATGTTACACTTTAATGCTCCAACCTTTATGTTGTTAGAAAATAAGTCAAATCCCCCCCAAAATATACTGTATATACACCTCCAATGTAAACTATTTGCAGAGGTGGGAGAAGTACTCATATATTGAGTTCAAGTTAAAACTAGAAGTAGAAGTACCAGAGTGTAGGAATACTGTTACAAGTATTCTGCATTCAAAATGTTACTCAAGTAAAAGTACAAAAGTATTAGCATCAACATATTCTTAAAGTAGCAAAAGTAAAAGTAGTCATTGTGCAGATTGGTCCATTTCAGAATAATATATATGATATGTTTTATAATGATTGATCATTAAAGTGTTCTCAAAGCTGGTAAAGGTGCAGCTAGTTTGAATGACTTTGTATACTGCAGGGTAGCTTGTGAATTTACTCCAGGTGGAACTAAAGTCTGATTTAACACTTGATTATATTTCACATTCATCCAGATCTGTAAAGTAACTAAATAAATGTAGTTGAGTAAAAGTACACCATTTACCTCTGAAAAAATGGACATACTCAAGTAAAGCACAAGTATCTCAAAAGTGTACTTAAGTACTTGAGTAAATATACTTAGTTACTTTACACCACTGACTATATATGATCAGGCCACATTTAGACCAATCGCCATTCAGAACATCACGCAAGCAAGTTTGCGTGCGTTACACTGTGCCACCTGTTCTGAGTTTGGAGTCTGTGGCTTTAAATTCTGTTTTAATTCATGGACATCAGGAAACAACTTAAAACAGTGAGTTTTAACTACTTTGATACAACAGGGAAACGGAGTCTCCAGCTGCTTTAGCATCGAGCGTTTCCATATTAATTTGATCTCCTGCTGCTTGTGGTAATGTGGTGTGGCTCTCTATGGTGTGGATCTGTTTGCTGCAGTTGGCCAAGTGTAAGGCCCAAGCAAACCTGTTGCTGTGAGGTTTTCTGGTGTGAATTATTGACTTTACACACAAGCTCATGCACGATGTTTACCAGTGTTTGAGCCGCCGTGCACTCAATGCGCGGTTGCAAAGTGGGTTTGTATGTTGCTGTTGGTTTGAGCGTATTTGCGAGCGGCGTGCGTCTTTACGCATTGCTGTTGGCCATGCTGTTCATATGTTTTTGATTTATACCGCTTTATTGCCTTCCCTGTAAATCACCTCTTTGCAGATTTACTCTGGCACCGGGTCAAGAGATATACAATTGTACTTTCTTTGTTAGCAATGTGGTATACAAGCTAATGGAGGAATTCTGAAAACACCATGCTTCTCTATTAAAAAGTGATGTATCTTTATCTAGTCATGGATTTAACACTTGTGTCCTCAACAACACACATATATATATATATATACTGACATGCACATACACTTGCCTTGAGACAATACAAACATGAAGTTACAAAAAAGGAAGCATGTCCGTCGACTTTGTTCTAAAGAAAACTTAGTTTCTGTAGAAATGTTATAAAAGTATAGTCTTAAAGTAATGTTCCTCTCTCATCCTCATTGTTTTACGGCAGGAGTAAGTGATGGCATTTAAACATACTGTTACTTCCCATCTCGTTGAGGGAAAAGTAAGCGACACAAAACCAGGTGGACTTGGTCAAATAAAGTTGTTTTACTGACCAACTTTGTCAACAGTAGTGCTCTAATAAACTGGACACACAAGCCAAACAATTAAAGAGGTTAAAGGTCACCTATTATGTCATTTTACACATGAATATGTGTCCCTGGGGTGTAAAGAGACTCACTATGTGTCAGCAGATACAACCCTCTCTCTTTTCCTCCTTTTCCATATCTCTAAAACCCAGCGTAGCAAACAGCGAGTCAAGATTGAGCAGAAACATGACTTCAAGTTTCTTCTGTGGATTTGCATAAACCATACATTGGATGTGTAAGGAGAAAAATAATTGGGGACAATGGTCACGTCCGGCCAACCTTACCAGTGAGCTCTTATTGCAATGAGCTTTGGAAGAAATCATGATAAGGATGAGATTATATAAATTGTAAGTTATTTTTTAAAAGAATGCATGTAATCTAAACAGTACAAACTTTTCCAGTAAGATTATATTTGTACATGGAAATGGTAAGGGTAACTGTTTTCTGTAAAGATGACACTGTTCAACAAAGACAAACACATGTTTTTCTGCACGCATTTCATTCAAAAAAAGACATTACACTTAAAGGCACATTTTTCTGTAAATTAAACGTACACATCTGACTAAAATGATATTCTTTAAAGCATAAGTTAATACAGCAAAACACATGAACAATATCTATAATATTCACAACACTTCCTTCATTTCTCAGTTGTATTCCTCCTTGCTGCTGAATTATCTTCAGAACACATTTGGTCTCATATAGCAGGTGTTTGTTAGATTCAGGTAAACAGCTCACAACGCAGTCACTTTTTCAGTCTTTGGTTCATCTATGTTTGCATATGGGACACCTAAAAAGAAAAAAGATAGATTTTAGAACTGCACACATGATCGCATCAGTAATTATATGATAGTTTTATTGTAGATGTTCATAAAGAAGTGAAATCTGTCTACAGGCATTCAACCAAAATGGAAGTCGACGTTTAGCATAGCAACAGGTCAACATTTCGGTGTATTGCATACAACAAGCTTTGTGGCCAACACACGTCTTTGATACTTAACAAGTTTTGTTCAGCAGGCTAATCTCCACATATTAATGCCACTTTGTGATTTTTGAATCGTATGTGCAATCAGCAAAAATAAAAGCTAATATAGTGCTATAAACAAACTACATTACGGTCGCACGGCTACCACCGCTAAGCTCAAAGTGGGCTCGTGTCGGCTGGATGACATTTGGTAGTTTAATTGGTTACTTGTTAGGGTTTTTATGACAAGTAGAAGGTTCAGACATTCAGATGTGTTTTATGTCGTGGAAAAAAACTTGAAAATCTCATAAGCTTATGTTAATCACAGACCTCTTTACCACAAATCTGTTCCAAAACGATTTACTTTGAGTGATGAGGAAACCAGAAGTGATAAAATGCGAACTCCTTTCCGAGTTTTAGGAGTGTTGTTGACGTATTTTATGTCGTGGTACAAACGCGAAAGTCTCGTAAGCTTGTGTTAACTAGAGACCTTCTACAAATGCGTTCAAAAAACGATTGACTTTGTGACGAGGCAACAAGAAGTGGTAAAATGCTAAGTCTTTCGGGTTTTAGGGCTCACTACTGCACCACTTTATTAGGAGACTATTGGTCCTAATAAAGCAAATCCTTGTATCTACTTCCCCTTTTTTATACAAAAGACTAACATGACATTCAATTGGGCTAATTTCCTTGAACAATAATGAAAATTCTTACTTGCTGATGTCAGGCTTAGTTTTTTCCCCTTGCTCCTGCGAACAGAAGATAACAGATGTGAGTGTTTGAAAGAAATGAACGTGATTACAACATTTGTGCCTGCAGGGGAGGTGGTAAATATGGTTAGAAAGTAAAGGTAGAGTGAAGTCAGTCCCTCCTCCGTGCTGATACAGTATGCTCCCAGAAATATCCCAAAAAGGTGATGACACTGTAATTTTCTCTCACCCCCATAGAGACGACTGCTTTCTCTGAATTACATAAACAAACGACCTGCAATGAAATTCATTTGACTTATTTATCTTTGCCTTGGTTAGAGTGTATTCAGTCTGTAGAGGACAGCAGCAGTTTCCTTTGGCTGTGAAGTGTCAGTCAGCAGTAATGCCACGCAGAACCACACATCTATTCACATCCTACACACAAACGCTTTGATAAATGCCCATAATATCAGTGTACTTACTTGGATTTCCGTCTGCAAACGCACACAATGGCGGTCACAATTGCGATGACGGCGACTGATGCCAGGACTGCGATCAGGATAATCCACTTGGTTTCTGAAAAAATAGAATGACGAATTAATTAAACCAAAACTTTGACTCTGTGTTTCTCCAAAAAAAGTTGAAAACTAAAGACACTCAGTCAAAATGTAGTTTAAATCTCTTTTGCACATCGTCCTTATTTGTAAAACAGAAAATGGCTAGTCTGTTGATCTGCAGGTTAGCCCCCAATTAGCGCTACATTGCTAAATAGTTAAATGCATAATAGAGGAATTATTTTCTCCAAAACAAAGTATGAGTAATTAAAACTTATAACAACACAGAATAAAGCAGTCTCATGTTAAAACATGTTGTTTTTTCTAATGGTGTTTGCTAGACATAGGATGCAGAGGCAGCAAGCTAACCGCTAAAGCTTGTTTAGCTTGTTTCCTTGATAAGATCCAGATGTTCAGAAGGTTTTGTACAGGGAGCTGAATTATCCATGAAAATATGACCCTCTACTCTAAAAAAACAAACAGACATAGTGAATACAACCAATTCAACACTTAATAAAGCAGTATCACGTGAAATATCCGTGTTTTGTGATGCTGTGGCTGCGAGCTAACCGCTAACGTTTGTTTAGCTTGTTTCTCTGTTCACTTAACATCCAGACATCAGGAGGTTTTTTACCGGGAGTGTACTTTCCCACAAATATATATAATTCCTCTCCAAAACAAATGGACCCATTGAATACAACAAATAAAACACTAAATAAAGAAGTAGCCTATCTGTTTATCTGATAAGTGCACTGCTGAAAAAAACAGCTTAGACCAACTTAGCTAGTCAGGCTGGTCTTGAACCAGCAAGACCAGCCTGGCCAGCTTGTCCAACTAAACCAGCCTAACACCAGCTAACACCAGCTAACACCAGCTAACACCAGCTAACACCAGCTAACACCAGCTAACACCAGCTAACACCAGCTAACACCAGCTAACACCAGCTAACACCAGCTAACACCAGCTAAAACCAGCAACCATCTTAAGCTGGTCTATGCTGGTTTTTTCAGCAGGGTGAAGCTCCTGCTATCTCGTGACTAAAATCGTTCATCTGGTTAAAATAAATATACAAAACAACCAAGAGTATGGCATTTAAAACTGAATAAAAAGTAAAATTATGACGGCAGAAGTATAATAAACAAGTGTCACCTAAATATCATAGTTTTTCACTAGTCATTGGTTTTGTAAATTGAATCAGTAGGGAAACTTTTTTCTTGTAGCATGATTTTATTGAGCTTGCCGTACCCAGTCCTCCTCCGGTTTCTGTGATCTCCACCTCGCAGTTTGTTCCCTGGAATCCGTCCGCACACAGACAGGTGTAGGTGCTGTTGCTGGCCTCCTTACACGCTCCTCCGTTCAGACAGGGGTAATCCAGACAGGGACTCGCTAAACACAGAACAAAACATTAATTAGTTTTTTGACACATTGATTTTGTTTCTTTCTCTCACAATCATCTTTTTAGCATTTGCAGTGTTGCAGTACTACATAGGGGTGAAGAAATATAAAAATGCAACAGCGTGATTGACAAGATGTATTTTACTTTTCATCCAATTCAATATGTATGGCTAGTTATATCCATATATAACCATTTTATTTCCCAAATTAAAGGTAGGGTAGGTAAGAATGGAGAAACCAGCTCGAGTGCGCTAGAATTTGAAAGTACACAACCGGAAAAAATCTGCCTCTTCCTTCAGACTTCCTTACAGAGCCCCTCCTCCAACACACACAAACGCACACATGACCAATGATAAGTTTGTGCAAGGATGGAAGGCTGACAGGCAGGTAGGCCATCCAGTTATTTTAGCCGGGCCGGCTAAAATGATTGGTCGTGCTTTTTACAGTACTACGGCTTCCACAGATGACATTTTTTTGCTAGTGGAGCCTCTGTGGCGCGCTTACACTGTAGGTGCGCCACATTTGCGCTTCAGATGAGGCTCCCTCCGCAAAATGAAGAATTAACCCTCTGCAAGATGAGGCCCCCTCCGCGAGGTGAGGCCCCATGCAGTCTGCGTGATCTGCCTGTAGGGAGGGGCGGCCCTGTATCCACCCCTTTCAAATCTACTACTCTGATAAAGGCTAAAAACCAACCAAAATGTAATCTTTTGAAAAAATCTGATTAATGTCACAGATTTTGCCATCATTCATTTTGGTTATGTTTTTTCTTTGATGTGAGAAGAATCACATTGTGGCAGAATATGGGCTGAATCAGTAGACTTTACACTGAAATGATATTGAGTAAATGATAAATAATTATAAGCACAAACACGCACCTCTGAAGCAGTCCCGTTTGAAGTCGAAGATGGTGCAGAGGTACCCGCCCTGGCAGGCCTTGGCCTGGCACACGGCGCCTGTGCTGGTGCATTCACAGGTCTCAGAGCAGTCCTCAGTCACAAACTTCTCCCCCAGCTGCAGGAGGGAGGGAAAAGAGTTGAAATAAAATCACATCATGACATTGTGACACACAGTGATTATAACTCCATAAGGCCTCTTACAGTGTAGTATCTGTTGAGGAAGGTGCAGCCGCACTGTGTGTACGGCACACAGATCCCCTCGCTCATGACGAAGCCCGCGGCACACTGGCACCCCTCCACACAGGAAGTGGTGTCACACTCAGAGGGTGCTGCCAGATCGGCGCAGGAGGCGGGGCAAGGGGACATACAGGTGGTGTAGGAGCTGTTGGCGTCACAGGAGAGGGCTGGGGGAGAGAGATAACACAACACCATCTCGTGTGAATTATTGCGTATGTTTTTTATATTGTTTTTCATAGTTTTTTGGGGGGGAAATCTATGTGCAGACTGTTGAAATCAGCTCAAGTTGTGGTTGCATTTTCTCAAATGCACATAAGTGCAGTGGTGGCAGAAGTACTTAGATTGTTTACTTAAGTAAAATTATTAATACTACAGTGTAGAAATTGTCCGTTACAATTAACAGTCATGCAATGAAAGTGTAACTTGAGTAAAAGTACAAAAGTAGACATAAATAAACTATATTAACCTGCAGAGTAACTAATGATGTCAAATAAAATAAGTGAGTAAAAAGGACAATATTTGCCTCCAAATTGTAGTGGGATAGAAGTATAAAGTAGCATAAAATGGAAATACTCAAGTAAAGTACAGGTAATTTAAATATGGACTTAAGTACAGTACTTGAGTAAATGTACTTAGTTACTTTCCACCACTGCATAATTGTGACTTAAACAATTATTACCACACAGCTCTACTCTTATTGACTTTCATACAGTACAGACAGTATTATGTCTGTGACATCAGAAGCATGCATTCCCAAACAGTCAGTGTTACATGAGTCCAGGTCCAAACAAAGTCCTCTTTCTACCATGCGTCTGACACTGAGACCCCTCTGGTGTTCCCCCATGATGTGAATGCAGGGTGACTCTGTGTGTGCTCAGCCTCTCACCACAGCCCAGCTGCTGCCTCCAGGAGCCCAGCTTGACTCCGGCCTCCTGACAGGTTGCTATGTACGCCTCGTAACTGGCACAGCGCAGCGCCGCACTGCCCTCCTCCGCACACAGGTCGAACACACAGTCACTGCAAACACACACACACACACACACACGCACACGCACACGCACACGCACACGCACACGCACACGCACACGCACACGCACACACACACACCGGTGTGAGCAAATCCAGCCGACTTACAGAGCATAAAACACAAACACTGTACTGTAACTCTCTCCGGTTCCACACACTCCACAGAATACTCACTCCTGGTAGCTTTTAGGTGGCAGGGCGGCATGGCAGACAGCAAACGGGCCCTTAGAGTCAGACAGCGCTCCACACTGAGTCGCACTGTTGTAGTTATCGAGCTGAGCCTTAGAGCAGTCCGATGTCTCAAACCCTGAGTCTGGATCAGTCTCCACCTCTCGCCTAGAGACAAATAGCCAAAAGGATGGAAAGATAGAGGACAAAGAAAACAGTTATGGCAAAACAATTCTTTCCATTTTTCCTTGTCCGATGTGAGGGTCTAAGGACAGAGGCTGTCGTATTCATATTCTGTGTAAACTGTAAAGCCCCCCTGAGACAAATGTGATATTGGGTTGTATCAATAAACTTTGAGAAATATTTAAGGTGTCCCGATATCTGTATACCAGATTACCACGAAATGTGGATAGAAAACCAAGGTTCCGAGATTATGAAAATGTTTAGGTATATTTCGTACCCAACATAAAGACCCTCACCTGTTGTACAATGTTAAAAAATAGTTTTTGATCATTTGTCTTTTCTATAAACTTATTCAGTAACTTCTTAAAGTGTTATATTGATAACTTATTAACTAAAAGGTTATTACTTAGGGAGCGCAGACCTCTGCCAAGGCCTTTTCGCAAGCTTAAAATGTATTTGAGAATAATGCCGGTGATTCGGATCTCCTCAAAATTGTTACTGGTTCTTCCTATCCCAATGCTACACCTTTCCGTCCATAAACGACCACTTATTTAAAGTCAAGAATGTATCCCCATTTCAGGAACCTTGGTGTTTTCCAACTTTCAGTCAACATCTACAGCTTTAGAAGGTGTATTTACAGCTACAGCAGTGACCCTGGTGGTTGTCCTACCTGTGGATGTGGACTGTCTGAGGAAGGTTGGAGATCTTCACTCCCTCCGCCTGTCGGTCACTGACCCTCCAGCTCTCTCCGAAATTGTTCAGGTCCCTGACCACTGATCCGTCCGGCTTCATGTACTCGTTCCTGGTGAATCCGTCGTAGTTTCCGCACAGCCCTCTGACGGAGTTCTTATAGGTGTTGGGCAGAATGATCTCTGATACAAAGAGAGACAGAGGAGGGGGTTCAGTGGATTCACAAACAGGCCCAGTCTGTCACTGTGGGCAGTTTCTTCTTCTCTTACCTCCACGAATGTTGCCGTCAAAGCGTACAGTGAGTCCGAAGTCAGTGGTGAGCTGGACCTGCCTGGAGTTCATGGTGATGGTCAGACCATCGACTGGACTGAGAGGAGGGGCAACACGCTCACCATTCACCTACAGAGACACAATATTTCAGTATGTACTTTTTACTACAGGCAAAACGAAACAGAAGAAGAAAAACTACGTACCAGGACGGTCTTCTTCTGCAGGAAGCGAACGTTGACGCCGTAAACGTCGATGTACATCTGATCTAGGAAGGAAATCCTTCTGTTCCCCCCACGCCTGATGTTCTTCCCCCTCACCACCAGGGGAGCCATCGAGTTCTGCAGGTTGTAGCCCTGAGCCAGGACGTAGGTGTAGGGCCCTTGGAAGTGATGGGTGAAGCTGTCAAATGTTCGGAAGTGAGGGTCCCCAGAGATGCTGCACTTGTCGAACTCTAGATGATAGTATCAATGAAATGGTGAAAATTAGTTATGACTTAAAAGCAATACTTATATTTTCCACCTTGTTACAACATGTTGGATTACTACAGGTGAAGCGTGGTGGACTCACTGGTGGGTTTGCAGTAGACGTCTCCATATTTGTCCAGAGCACACACTGAGTTGGAATTGCAGGTTTGTGCCTTGCATGTGATTTTGCCACCGAGGTCACAGGTACACATGTCAGTACATTTTTCCGTCAGCCAAGAGTCTCCAACCTGCACACAAACACAACACACAATTTATATATAATATAAATACAATGATCGATTGCTCTGTGTAACAATCTTTATATGATTGAAGTCATATTTGTGGAGCTTCAGTTGATGGTGATAAGACTGACAGGCACTACAACTTGCACCACCAACTGAAGAATAATGTGCAAATTGTAACTCAATAAAGGTTCAATGGAAGGATATTGTGAATGCATGACATTTATACATTGTTGTTATTGGCATTGTTCAATCTGAAGGATTGAAAACAATGGAAGATCTGAATATATCGGACATTTTAAAGAAAAAATTACTTACATTTAAGTCAAAAAAAATTAACACATTGTACAGTAATAAATGAAAAGAACTTTAATATTTGAAACTAAGTATGTCATTTGGCATTTAGCAGGTCAGCTAAACGTGGAAGAAATGTAAAATTTGCTTTAAATAAACTTTTCCTTACATCATTTTGTAAATGTAAGATTAAATAACATTAAATATCATAGATCTTTTAATGAAAATGCTTAGGAATTGTTTTGGAACTAATACAGTAGATATTACTCTTTTATCTTCAATCATTCTATAAACTTTCTTTCTTTGGGTCATGATCCTAGGCTGGAAACTACAGATACAGATGTTTTTTTCTGGGTCCATGCTTACATCTATTAAGTTCATCTGCACTTTTAATACTCTGTGTATATCTAATGTTCTGAATCTATATTATCAGATCCTGTTCACAGCAATCGGCCAGCAGCAGTGTGTTTCACTCACATCGTGGTACTCTCCATCGGAGCCCAGACAGCCACATTTGTCCAGAGGAACACACTTGGTGTCACTGAGGACGTATCCGGCATCACACTGACAGCCCTCCACACAGGAGGTGGGGGGGAGGTGGCAGGACATGGGGAAGAGGTCTGAGCAGGTGGGGGGGCAGGGGGCGGTGCAGTCTGAGTAGTGGCTGTTAGGAGGGCACGGCACGGCTGCAGAGAGGGAAAATTAAAGTATGAAAATCAGAATCAGAATCCCTTTAATAGTACAGCGTGTCAGCAAAAGTGATATAGCAGATAAAAGGCAAGCAATGATAAAGTAGCTAACAGGTTACATATGAGGAAAAAGCACACATTAGTAATACAAAAAAATAAAGACAAATAAGTACTTGTCTATGGCTAAGAATGAAACCAATTCAATAAAATAAGAATTATAGAAAATTATGGTTAGCACGTAAAAAAGGGTTAGGGTTAGGTAATATATACACTTTTTTTGGTGTGAATAAAAAAAAAGTGTATATATTGCATATTACAGTTGTATAAAAGAGCAAAACTGGAAGGTTCATTCAAATTGTGAACGAGTGGGACTTGACGTACGACAGAAGGTGTTGTTCCTCCAGCTGATGGTGACCCCGGCACTCTGGCAGGCCGCGGCGTAGGCCTCCACGTTGTCGCAGAGCGTGGCCTGCATGCCGTTGTACTCGCACATGTCGTAGATGCAGTTACCCAGGAAGGCCTCGGGGGGCACCAGTGAGTGGCAGGGCTGGAATCGGTCGGAGAGGATGACGTTGCCACACTGAGCCTCGTACAGCGTCTCTTCTTCTGTGGTGCAGTTAGGGTGGATGTCTGGGCGAGTGTCTGGCTGACAGCTTAAGGGAAGAATGTTGGAAGAATGGTTAAGTCAGGATTGTCAGGGCTGCTCTAGACCTATCCTAACCTTAACACTTTTTGAAAAGGGCATTTTTTATAATCTACTCTCTTTGAAGCGACTATAGCTGAAAACTCAAAAGGGTGACGCTCTGACGCTGCGTTGATGCTTTTTATAATGTGGAAGTGGCCGTGGTTAAATCTCAAATGGGTTGGAAAACGTTAGACGCAGCCTGGTCTTCTTGATTGTATTCCTATGAAACTAAACTGCAGTCAGTAACATTTATAAACATTGCTCATACAATTGCTTAAGAAGGAGGACAGGATGGATGGATGGGTCGTTTGCCATGTGTAAAGAATAGTCAACATGGACTTATTCCCATCAACATATGTAGCTTAAGTTACATAACAAACATACCTATTCAAACCAAACCATAATCTGTTACTAAACCTAACCAAGTACTTTAGTTGTGATTTTTTCTTTCAATGTATAATGTTCACCATGTATAACTGCAACTATAATCTGGGAGGAAATACATTTTCCCTGATACGTAATGCAGAATGCAGATTAGTTTAGTGACGATGTATAAGGCACTGACCCGGAATCACTGTCTCCATCTGACTTCCAGCTGTTGCCCAGTTCAATCACATCCTTGGCTGGTTTCTTGTTGGGCATCAGGTTGTCATCAGTGGAGTTGTGGTTGTAGTTGCCACACATGCCACACAGCTAGAGTGGAGAAAGGTTGATATGGGTTAAGGTTGCATCTCGTAGCATATTCATGGGCAAGAATACAGTTAGAATGGTACAAATTAGTCTTTGGTGCAAGGAAATATGTCTCATGTCTTCATACCTTGTTGTAGTATTCTCCGGGAACAGTGATCTCTAGGTGATGGACTCCGTCAAACTTCACCTGTAGACCGAAGTTTGTGTCCAGCAGACTGTAGGACCCGCTGCTTATCACCTTGGTTCCGACCGCGTCGATGGAAAGTGGTGTTCGCACCCTCCGGCCATTCAGCTAACACAAGATGCAAAGAACAGACATCAGTCAACATGGCTATCATTACATTAAAACAATTCTGGGTCGATTTATTATGAAAAATGTTCCTTACCGTCACTCTGCGGCTCTTCTGCAGTTCAACCACGTTGTCAAAAGGCAGGTAGACTTTGACAGAGCGAACATAGGAGGCCTCTGGTTGGCCACGCTCCTCGTTTTTAGCCACGATCTTGAAGGGAGTTACCCTGGTCGAGTCACAAACCTAGAGGATACAGAAAAATGTCATTTCAAGCAATATGTTTTTTTGTTTCACAAAACAGACACTGGCTAAAATATTTCAGACGTGTATACATTTAAAAAAGAAATGTCCGCATACCTCCACAAGTGTGTAAGTGCAGGTGCCCATGTACGTGTGCATCACACCATCAAAGGTGTAGTAGTGAGGGTCTCCAGCCACGTGACACACTCCTTTTCCTGAGGTTTGGAGAAAAGAAAAAAAAATTGTCGATTGGTTTAAAGACTGATCAAACTATAAAAAATACGAAATTTCATATAAAGAAATACTTCACATTTTGGCTTCAGGTGTAATAACAGTGTTGGCTGGGTTACTTTAAAATGTATTCCGTTACAGTTACTGGTTACCTGTATAAAAGTAATGTTACCTGATTACTTTCCATTACTTTTGGATTGCCTCAATATCAAATGCAATGCAAATAAATTCAAGAAATATCAATAAGATGGGTCTTTACTTAAGTGTATAATGTAAGACAACAGAACAATGTGACCTTGGAAAAGAAGAAACCAAGATTTAAAGGATACAAAATGGTGTCATTTTAAATTATAGTTAACGCCTACAGAATATTAGTTTAAAATGCGATTTTAGTTTAACACATGAATTAAAAACCAGCACATACTTTGCGTTTCATAACTAATGTGTCCACCAACTGCAATGGAAGTAGTCAAAATAAAAAATCTAAAATGAAAGGCAGTATGTCTACCTATGATACAGTTATGTTGTTTTTAATCCTGATTACGTCATCCCGTTACATGTAATCTGTTGCTCCCCAAGCCTAGTAGTGAGTGATGTTCAGTGTACCTGTAGAGTGGCAGTCCAGTACTCCTTCTACGACCTTACACTCCTGAGCGGGGCTGCACTGCCAGGGCTCGCAGGTGATGTTGTTGTTTCCGTTACACTTACAGCGCTCCGAGCAGTCCGTCTCTGAGAACCAGGCGTCTCCAACCTACACACAAACAGAAAAGCATGTTCAAACATCTCTCTGCCGTCTAGTTGCCAGCATAGTGAACCCTGAAATGTTGAGTACACCAACGTTTTATGATAGAAATGTATAGTAGGGTCCCCAGCACATAGAAACTGCCGGATGCTAACATGCATATGTTGGGCAATTTGCACAATTAGCACAAGTTGCGTTAAGTAGCATATGCAGACAATAGCTACAAAAATGGCCTGGTCGATTTCGACAATTCATGAGTGGTCTTGGAGCTTATTGAGGATGTTGAATCAAAGTTTTGGGTCTTTGTAAAACTTTAAAATTGACAACAAATTCATCAAAATACACACTACAAACAGGGCCACCGTCTGGTTCAAACTGCCATTTTTGTCCATGAACATATCAGAAATCAAAAAACCACTCCAAAATTATCCAGATCGACCAAACCATTTAAAAACTATTATCCACATAGTCTATAATGTTAATTAATGCAACTTAATTGTGCAAATTGCCCAACATATGGAAGTTAGCATCTGGCAGTTTCTATGTGCTGGGGACCCTACTATACATTTCTAACATAAAACGTTGGTTTACTCAACATTTCAGGGTTCAAAATACTAGGGATGCTCCGATCGATCAGCCGCCGATCGATATCGGCCGATACTCACTCTCTGCCGATCGATCGGTGCTCTCTAAAAATGCCGATCACGAGAGCCAATCGCATGACGTAAAATGATGACGTAAAATACATGACACTTTTCTCTGTGCGCGACAAAACAAGCTCGCCAAAATGGCTTCACTAGTCTGGCAGTATTTTAAGTGTCCGAAAATGACAATAAAATAGCGGTATGCAACGTGTGTGAAGCAGAAATACTGCAGCTCCACCCGCTGTGACGGACCGGTGAGCGGAGCAGAACACACATTAAGAGTTAGACCTAACACACTTAGCTATTTTATCTACCTCTGGAACAAGCTAAACTAGTTATAAATATATTCATTCTTCACTGTCGGGTCACTCATTACTGGATCAGTGAGCTGCAGGAGATACTGACAGGCTGTCAGGAGAGAGAGAGAGGGAGAGAGAGGAAAAGAGAGCGCTTCCGCTAATTTCTCCCGTGTTATTATCCAAAGTTAATGTAAACTATACTTCATTTGAATGTAATAATTATGTTGGTTGTTGTTTGTGGAAGCGCCAGTGAATGAGCCCCATTAACTGAGTTTTAAACATCACTTTAAATGGAAGATCCCCATAGGCCCCGCCCACTCGATCGGATCGGCGATCGGTATCGGCCGATACTGATTCCGGCGATCTGCTATCGGCCCCAAAATTGGGGATCGGAGCATCCCTACAAAATACTATCCGGAAGCCTCTACCCTCTGCACTCACCGGCCTGTACTTCCCGTCTTCATCAGTGCATCCACACTCGCTGATCGGGACACATTTGTCTCCGCTGAGGACGAGGCCGGGGTTGCAGACGCAGCCCTCCACACAGGGGTAGTTACAGGAGCCGGGGCTTGCAGGGTCCTGACAGCTGGGCTGGGAGCAGGCGGGGCCACATGGGTCGTACTGACTGCCGGGGGGGCACTTCAGGGCTGGAGAGAGGAAGGCAGTTGCAATGTTACAAGTGTGTTTTTCTTTTGTAAATATTTGCAGTTATACAGCTTTTTCCACAAATGCAAATCCACAATAGTTTTTCTCACACTCGCGACTCTCAATGTTGTTGTACTGAAATTTTTTTTAAGCTTACGTACTCGCCGAGTTCATGCTGTTCTAACATTTTATATTCATGGTTGATTGCACTTATTGTTATTCACTTTAGATAAGCGTCATGTAGGAGCCAATGAGCGCTCATGGTGTAAAGGTAGGAACCAATGTTTGAATCCGGTGAGTTTTTGACCACACACCCGGGCACACATACGCAAACACGGGAAACTAAGTTGTAGTGTTTCTAAGTATCAAACAGTAATGGAAAACAAATGGACTGAGTGTTCAGTTGGAAACTTGATAAACCGTAAACCTATTACCTGACAGGCTAAAGTGTGTGTAATTTATGTAAACAATAGCAACACCTCAGTGGCCTACAGCGTCGGCTTAGCCTCTACACGTCAGTTATTATTAAATGTAATGTTATTTTGGTCATATTGCTTAGAAGGGTGATGGCATCCTGCTCAAATGCCTAATAAGTGTGTCGAAATGCTAAATGGCAAAATGTCCATATGTAGAGCACATCAAATTCGAATCCTGCTGATTAATTGTTTAAAGATTGAGCTGAAAGGAGTTGGGAGGGTCTGAACTATAGGACTTGTTTTTTGCATGACCAAGACCTTGGATCTTGTGTCTTGTTTAACAGCGGCCTATGTGGCAAGTACAGAAACTAGCTAACAACCAAATAGCTGTGGACCAAACACCAAATAGCTGTGGTTTTAGATAAACTTGGTGCTAATCGTTCTATGAAGGTCATTTCTGTTCTTCACACCGACACACAAACTTACGACAGAAGGTGTTATTCCTCCATGCGATGGGGACTCCTGCGGAGGCGCACATGTCGGCGTAGCTCTCGATGGCCTGGCACAGGGCCACGGTCTGACCTCCAGTGCCACACATGTCGTACACACAGTTCTCAAAGTATGGACCGGGGGACACCACGGAGTGGCAGGGCTTAAAGATACCTGAGGTCGAGATAAGACAGAGACATGTAGTTGAGGGGAATTGCAGACAAACTCATTTGGCTAAACGGTCACTTTCACATCGGTATCGGCCGTACCGTTTGGATCTGTGATCATGCCGCAGCTGGTGGGCTTCTGAGCCTCTGCCTCCACCTTGTCATCACAGTCCTCCTGTTCTCCACCATTGGTACAGCTGGAGAAGAGGCGGATGATTCATTAAAATGCAGTAAAGTACTGATTTTTGTCTTATGTGTTTATGTATTAATCACTGTGACTCACTCAGGTCGAGGGTCAGGAACCTGCCAGCTGTCTCCCAGCTCGTTGGTGTTAGCAGCCGGCTTATTGTCTGGTTTTAGGTTGTCATCTTTGGAGTCTCCATTGAAATTTCCTTAAAAATACATAAAGACTCAGTCAACATGCTGAAAAAGGTCTGGTAGTTTTGGTTTGGAGAACCACTGTACACTTAGTCAAATACAGTGGAAGTAGCACTTATAAAGGATTGGACAAATCAGTTCAATAGTTTGAATAGTCTCTGGTTTACTGTAGTATCAGGGGCCTGAAATGGGACCCAGCTCTTACCACACATGCCACAGAGCAGGCCGTTGTAGGAGGTTGGCAGGGTGACGTCAGCGTGGTGGTTACCATCGAAGCGCACCCTCAGGCCGAAGTCTGTCTCCAGGACGACGAACTTGCCACTCAAGTAGATCTTAACTCCTCTGATTGTGGAAACAGGTGGAACGACCGCTGTTCCATTCACCTGAAGAACACAGCGATGTGTCAGTCTTTGATAGCCAAAGAGTGTCTATATGGAGCCATTCATTGAAACCAGTGGTATACTGTAGAACAGGGGTCACCAACCTTTTTTAGGGTGAGGGCTACTTTAAAAAAATAAAACAAGTCGGGGGCTACTTTTACCCCTTTTGTTGTTTTTGTTTTTTGCAGTGTATATATTTAGCACATTTTAACATTATGATATGCTTACCTTTAACCTTTGTGTGCTGTTTGGGTCTGTGGGACCCGTTTTCAGTGTTTACTAAAAGAACATGTATGCTATTTAATTATTTTAACCTGCTTTATTTGGGGGTGGACGGGCCTCACCTCCTCTAGGGGGGTCCTCACCTCCTCCAGGGGGGACCTCACATCCTCTAGGGGGGTCCGAGGGCATGCACCCCCGGGAAGATTTTTTTTAAATGTTGAAGTGAAATGCATCAATCTGGAGCACTTTGAGCACAACATAAATTGATGGATACAGCTCTCAACACTCAGATGAAAGAGAGCTGTATACTTTTCAATAATCCAAACATCTTTAGAATATGATCACAACCAATAACAAATCATTTCAACTGGTTTATTCTTATCTTATGTTAGCTTATTTTATTTATGCTTATTTTACTAATCACTCCCCTTTCAAACTGTTTTTTTTAATTTTTTTACTGTCCTATACACATTGGAATGATTTCTTACTTAATCTATATTAAATAGATAAAGGTGTGCTCTCCCTAGCTCTCTCGCTCGCTCTCTCTCTCTCCCCCCCTCTCTCTCGCTCTCTCTCTCTCTCTCTCTCTCTCTCTCTCTCTCTCTCTCTCTCTCTCTCTCTCTCTCGCTCGCTCTCTCTCTCTCTCTCTCCCCCCCCCCCCCTCTCTCTCCCTCTGTCTCGCTCGCTCACAGAGGCTGTGTGCTCCTCCGTGTCGATGACGGCTTGCGTTAAAAAATAATAATAAACATATTTGTAAAGTGGGGGGACACAAACGGGATTTCGAAAAGAGCGGGGGACATTTCCCCCCCTCTCCCAGGTGGAAATTACGCCATGCGTGTGTGCGTCAAGTGCAATAAATATATATGCAAGTTGCAAAACACACAGAGTAAAACTCTGCCCCCCATGTGTTGTATAGGCTGGCATGATAGGCTGTTCAATGGGGCTGATGTGTTGTGTAGATTCTGCCAGAAGGAAAATCAGCGGGGAGGTGCCACTCCACATTGCTTTTCTTCCCGACTGCAACGCTGGTCCCGCAAATCAAGCAAGAACGTGATTGGTCGATATTCATTGTGGGGGTGGGGGGAGGAGGGGTGTTAGATAGATATAGAGTTGTAGTAAGTAGATAGAGTTCGCTATGATTTAGGTTTCGTTTATGCATAGGGTAGATTCTTTTATTTACATTTCCTTTTTTGTTTTGTGTATTTTATACATTTTGGATTTGCTTGGCGAGCTATTTTTAGAACATGCCCCGCAGGCGACTCACGTTGCCCCTGCGGGCGACTAAGTGCCCGCGGGCACCGTGTTGGCTACCCCTGCTGTAGAATGATGGTTTAGTGACCCGGGAGTATCTTTGTGGCATCCATTACAAAACAGGTCACATTTTTCAAAGGCTATCAAAGGTGCTTCAAGTCTTCTGTTTTATGCTCTTTAGCTTAGGGTTTTTTTACCTTTACGAAAATATAAAGAATTATGCGTCCAACTATTTCTAGCAGGCGCAATATAGAAACTCACGTCACACCAACATCAATAACATCTACCGATTAGCTACACTTAGCTAATTATGTAGCTAAGTGTAGGCTAAGCTAAGTCCTTATGAATTCTCCCATCTTTCATTGTTCTTATGATGTTTTTCAGCGAGATCAAGGAGAAGTCATTACAAAAAGACATCAAATGTACAGTTTTTTGAAAGCACCACTTGCTCTGTGAGGCAGCGTACCTGGACTGTGCGGCCCTTCCCGAAGATGAAGGTCATTTCGTTCACGTTGATCACCACGGCCCTGACGTAGGAAATCTTCTTACTGCTCCCTCTGTGCTCGTTTTGGGTGTCCACAGAGAAGTAGGGCATGCCCGAGGACTCGTTGCAGGGTTTGGACAGGGTGTAGGAGCAGGCCCCCATGTAATTGTGGGTGCGTTTGTCAAAGGTGGTGTAGTGGGGATCACCAGACACGGAGCAGATACCACTTCCTGTAAAAGAGAGGGAGGAATTGAGTTATTCATATGTTGCATGCATATTTCCTACATTTTCTCACAATTGGAATTCCCGATGCAAGATATTATCAACAGTGGTGGAATAAGCATTCAGATGCTTTTCTTGAGTAACAGTTCCAATACATTATTGTCAAATTACTTAATTACAAGTAAAGGTCCTGCATTCAAATCTTACTTGAGTAAAAGTACAAAAGTATTATCAACATGTACTCTAAGTATACAAAGTTAAAGTAATCATTGTGCACAAAAGGCCTTTATGTATTTCTAGATTATATTGTTGCATCAAGTACTGTTGTACAAAAACAAAGTTCTGATTGACTTTTTTTAAAATGTTTAAATCATTTCAAATGTATTGGAGTACACTTACATTATTTCCCTTTTAAAGGTCGTGGAGTAGAAGTATAAAGTAGCATGAAATAGAAATACTCAAGTAATGTAGTACCTCAAAATTGTTCTTAAGTACAGTACTTGAGTAAATGTACTTAGTAACTTCCCACCTCTGATTGTGAATCAGTGGATCTCAATAACTTGAATAGAAACTGATCCAGAATCCAGTGCTTGATAAATAAATAGTCCACTAAAAATGTGTGTGTGTTGAACGTACCCAGAGGACGGCAGTCATATTCTCCCTCGTGCAGCTGGCAGCTCTCAGTGGATGGTTTACAGCTGGTGTTTTGACACTGGATCGAACCTCCACTGTGACACACACACTTCTGCTCACAACCCTCCAGGTACCAGTTATCATTCACCTGAAACACACAAATGAAAATGAAACATTATACGACCAATTTAAATGCATCACACGTCCAAAGACACACCATTGTTTAGATCAGATACATTTAATTGTGGTAAACTAAACAATACTGTCATTTTAACATTCAAAATAAATACCAGGTGTGTTCATACTTATGGGATGAGGCACTTACAGGGTGATAGTTTCCGCTGGGGTCCACACAGCCGCAGTCTTTCAGGGACACACACTTGTCGTTGCTGAGGATGTAGCCCGGGTTACACTCGCAGCCCTCCACACACACGTCCTGACAGCCGGGAGACCCCCCCACACCCAGGCAGGTCTCGGGACAGGAGCTCACACACAGAGAGTAGGAGCTGTTGGGGGGGCAGGCCAGGGCTGCATGGAGGGACAGAGACAGGGTATAATAACAGTGTTATTCTGGTGTAAAGTTGAGTATTTAAAGATGGGGGTCTATGGGGATTAAATCATTTTTGGAGCCAGCCTCAAGTGATAATACGAGTAGTTGCAGTTTTTGGCTCTTCCGCATGCTCAGTGCTGAAGTTTGCTGCTTTAACTTTTGTAGTTGTCATGAATCAAACGTACAAACTGTCAGGTTGTCATGCTGACCATTTCAATGCTAACATGCTAATGTTTAGCCTGTATCAAAGTTGAAATAGTAATATGATGACAGCGTGGTGCTGTATTGCTGGCAATTTCAATGCTAACATGCTAATGTTTGGTGGAGTAAATTTGCGTCAACCAATCAGAGGGTCAGTGTTCAATTCATCCAGCCCTAAGAGTAAACATGTCGAACGGTCCTTAGGTAGGAATTAAATGTGTCATATGTAATTATATTTCATTTTGGACATGATGGATCAATCGCCCACCCTACAGCCAAAGGTCTAGTCACTAAAATGAAATACAGTTACATTTAAATTATTTCTATCCGATTCTACAACTAAACATAGTACCTTTCTGTTATTGAAGATTTTTTTATACAAAATAGACCTTTCAAATTACTGGAAAACTCAAGGCTGTTGGGGAAATATTTTCCAAGACCCATAACTTTGACCCAGTTTATCAGTTCATACTGTCCTGACTGAGCACACACACCTGTAACCTTGGCTGCTGTGCTCTCAGTGTTTTGTCTCCCTGTTCCTGCCTGTTGGCGTCAGCTGATAGAGGTGTTATGATTCTATCTTGTTCTGCACAATGTTGATTTTTCTCTCTGAACTAGCTAAATACATGGGTCTGGGTTAGAGTTCTTCAGAATTGACGTGGCAACTCTACCGTGAAGTCAGAACCTCTGACTCTTTGACATGTCTTGTGAATTCTCCGGCCGAAGCTCCTAAATAAACCCATCAGTGTTTGCCATCAAAGCTCCAGCTCTCCCCGTGTCTCCTTTGAGTCGGTGACTCCTCCTGCATTGCTACACAGAGGTTTCCCCCACAAAGGCAAAGCAGAGAAGACAAAGATCCTCTGAGGAAACACTGAGTTAAACTCACGGCAGAAGGTTGGAGTCCTCCACTGGTGGACTTTGGCCCCGGCGCTCTGGCAGACGTCAGTGTAGGCCTGGAGCTGGTCACACAGAACATGCTGCTGGCCATTGAACCGACACATGTCGTACACACAGCTCTGGAAGAACGGAGTGGGGTCCACCTTGCTGATACACTCCCTGGATAGAGAAAAAACTCATAAGGTCAGGCAGATGGTTCAAAACAGTGAAAAGATACACTCATGACATAATGCCGATTTCACATGTAGCATTCTCTATCTAATCGGTCCTTGAAACCATTTTTGATATGAAAATGAATATATGAAAACAATAAACTACTTCCTTAACAACCCAACCCAACACATTTTTTACATTAACAGTATGTATGTATGAGTGGGTGTTGTGGTTCAATGCTATTATTGTAATTATTTATTATGTAAAACAAGCTATAACTGTAATCTGGAACAGATAAATGACTTATTGTCGTAAATATAACACAATCGGTGTCTCCTCCACGCTTTCAAAATAAAACACCCACTTTCTAAATTGAACCCACAAAGTGTCAGTATGCTCAGACTGATAGGAGTATCTACAGCCACACCCTCTAACTACCCTTTGTCCGGAGCTGTTGATGTTATCTGATACAGTTCAAGATACATAAGTGCTGACATTGCAAAGAACAGGAAGTGCATATACAATAAATGTATACGTTGAGAAATTAAAATGTATGACAGAATGCTTACAGTACAAACTGGATGATTGTAGTAAGGGCATTCACACTGTTTCATTTAACTTTTTCAATATTTATTATTCTACTTGAAATGTAAAATGTTATCATATAATCAATACGATTAATTCATCACATGTTAAAAATGTATAACTCTATTTTTATCATTATACATTTTGAACATGCATTTCTATATATTATGAAAGATTTTGAACAAAAACTAATATTTTATTCTAATCCAAAATGTAACAGAATGGTAATAAAATAACAAAGATTCTCTGTCATTATTGCAAAGATTGGATTTATTTTCAACATCTAAGAATAAGAAGATACATTTGTCTTATTCTTAAAACAATATATATGGTACCAGCTGCTTTATGCCCTTTTCCGGTTAGAACCAATACAAATAGTTGCAAGCATTTACCTGCTAGAAAAAACACACACTACCTAGTTGCATTATGGGAAATGTAAAATCTGAAAGTTTTTTGAGCCTTAATAAGGACTTTAAAAATGATATGAAAATAAAATGGGATTATTCAGATTATATATCTGTATCTCAGCAGGGTGATTGTTTTCGCTCAGGTCCCTTTAAAAAGGAATTGAATAATTGGGAAGAGAAAAATCAGTTTCCTCACCTGAAGGGTCCTGCAGGGTCTTTGATTTTGCCACATTTCTCCGGTTTCACCACCTCAGCCTCCAGTTTTGGGTCACAGTCTGGGTCCGGCTTGGTACCCGGGGTACACCTGATCAACACAAACACACCAACAGGGTCAAGTACAAATAAACAATCAACTGTCCTTTCAATTTGATTTATTCTCAGGCACTAGTCCAACGTGCATTTTTGGCAATATAACATTTATATTCTTATAATAATGTATGTAAACATAACGTTATTATTTGATCAAATAACATGTATTTGTGCTTAAAATAGCCCATTGCACAGTATAAATCCATACAATGTGTTAAGAAAATATCACTCGTCACTGGCTTGAGCTTCAATATCAGGATGTATTTATTATCCTTGCAATAATGGAAGTAGTCATCACATACAGAGCTGCATGGGACAAAATAGTTTCCCCAAATAGTGTCCTTGACATGCTTTATATACAAGATAGGGTGTTATTCAGTCACAACAAGATACATGTATACCGGTTCAAAGCAGTATTCTTTGCTTAGTTCAGATTAGCTAAGGCCTGCGTAAGCAATAAACATGTCAGTCATATGTCTATCTCCATAGAGGCTGAATCATCATGTTAATCGTTGTCCCATAGCTATCATATGCCTAAAACAGTCCTGATGCTCTTCTAGGTAATCATCCATCCTGTTACGTACACAGCTACGTAGGGCCTTTGTTATCATGTGCTACTCTGATATGAGAAGAGTACATTCAGTATTTTCCCAACACAATGTATAGCTCATGTAATGTGTTTCTTTAACGTTCATTCTCAAACTGTTAGTAACTCAGTAGATTATAGTGTCCATGAGCCTAGTCACATGTAGTTCAATCACATGCTCGGACCTTAAGTGAATTCCAAGAACGTTCAAAGAAAATTCCAGCATGAAAATGAATGATTATAAACTCACGTGTCATCTTCATCCTCTTCCGTCTGCCAACTGTTCCCAAAGTCATTGACATTTCCTACCAGAACGCCATCTGGTTTGGTGAAGTCATTGTCTGGTTTCCCATCGTAGTCTCCACAGAGGCCACACATCTGGTCATAGTAGGAGCTGGAGGGACAAGTCATGATGGAATTAAGAGATAAAGAGGAATGTCTTAAGAAGACTTAAAAGGTCAAAAACCGTTTGGCCCTTGGATGGAATTCTGGAGACATAATGCAGAAATCTCTTCATCTGCGTCAGGGCATCATCAATGTAGTGTTTATATAAAACTAAAGAATGTTGGGATTGAAGATGTATTAAGAATAGCAGATCTGTGTGACCTCTGACCTACAGTTTGAAAAGATGCTTATGTGATTTCTTAGGCAGCTTCCATGAAATACACCTAAACCCAGATTAAACTGACCTATGGCAGTTTATAGCATTTTATACTATTTTATATACCCAGCCCATATCATTCTGTTTTTCACGGTGTGCTTCAAACAGCTACATTTGCAGCCTAAATTCATTGGTGAAGTTCATCATTTCAACAAAAAGAAAGTTGCAAATGTATCCAGAGCTACATAAGATGTATAATTATGTTATCATTTTTGCGATTTTCAAACAAGTGTTTTGCCACTTTTAAGTTGATTTAAGGGTCTCAGAAAAGTCTGTTTACTAGCTTTTTTGTCTCCAAGTCCCACAGATTACTAACCTGGGAACTGAGATCTGGGCGTAATGGTTTCCATCCCAGCGCACCCTGAGGCCGAAGGGCGTCTTCAGGGTGATGTACTGACCCGCCAGACTGATGGTGATGAAAGGGGAGGGGGAGTTAGGGAGGGCCACTCGCAGTCCGTTCACCTGGGGGAAGAAAAGAACATAAAGACGGGGTTAAACAGAAGCTACCGGTAGCTAAGCCTGGCAGTAAGCTAATAATGGGCCACAGTAACAATTGTGAAATTGCACTTATCTGCTATGCTAAAATATCTGAATGCTTACTTTATTGATGAGGGTCACATTACAGTGTTTTAGTATCAAAAATGTAAACATTGCCCCAAGCCTAAATGTCTTATTTAACTCTGCTAGGTAGAGATATTAAAGGTGTGTTAGTTGATAGAAATAGGCGTGTGTAAGCAAGTGATATCAGATGGCTAACATCATTTCATATATCCAATATAAGCTAAGTTGGTGGGCACATATGTCCATTCATTGAACTGTTAAAGCCTAACATATTACAATTATTTTTGAAAGATTTAAAATTATGTTAATATTGTGAGTTAATTTGTATTATTTTGAATAGTAACTGTCAAACGTATTTAGAGATTCATTTGTTTCAAATTCAATTGTTTTTATTTTGAACAATGGGTAGATATTGTATTTAGTTCATGTTTTCTGATGCTTTTTAAATTAAATGTTCAAATTGTTTCTTGTTACATTACATTTCATTTTCTTGTGATTTTGTAACAACAGCATTTTAAAATGCTAATGTTAAAATAAAAATCAAACCAAGAAATACCTAATTTTAGAACATGTTTGTTTAAATTAAAAGATATGTACGTACAGGTGAGGCATTGACATTTAATTTGCTGCTTGTTAAAAAAATCCAACATAAATGATGTCAGACTAAACAGCAGAGTGAAAAGTGTGCCAACCAACCCCAGCCTCCCCTACACTTAATATTTGTTTTATATTTATCACTTCCTGTCAGTTTATCTTATTTCACACGTGAATAAAAACCCTGCACAGGGATTAAGATCTCTGGCTGGATAAGATGACGGAGCGTTGACACTGACGGATCAAGTAGCTGATATGATGAGGAGAAAGAGGTTAGCAAACGGATTTCTAAGATTATGGCATTATAAAGGGATACAAGTCAAGGAGCGCGGATAAGATGAAATGGAAAGGTGAAGAGGAAAAGGGAATGGCTTTGTGCTCACTAAACCAGAAGATTAAGTGTGGTGTGTGGAACAAGTCTTTTTATAGACACAAATACACTGTGTAAATGTTGCCTATACTGACCAGCGTTCTCCTGGACTTCATCAGGGTCACAGTGACTCCATTGACAGTGACGTAGAGTTTTCTCAGGTAGGACACACCGGACACGCCTCTCTCCTCGTTCTTCCCCTCCACTGAGAACCAAGGACCTGCGGAAGGTTCAAACACACAGAATATCATCTTTTGTTTTTGCTTCGGGCTCGACTCGGGTAGTGCTCCAATCAGGAGGTTGTGGATTCCCCCCCCCCCCCCCCCCCACCCCCCCCCGCCCTTACATGTCGATGTATCCTTGGGCAAGTTATTTTAGCCCAAATTACCTCCGATGGCATGACCACTGTGTGTGAATGTTAGCTTCCTATAGCAGATGACACCTTGCATGGCAGCGCCCGCCTCTGTATGAATGGGTGAATGATAACTTGTATATGTGAAGCGCTCTGAGGAGTCGCAAAGACTGGATAAAGCGCCTTAGAAATGAAGTCCATCTACACCAATGTGGATTCAAAACATGTCTAAAAACTGTCAAAATATGAAACAATTGAGTCTAAAAGTGGAAATGACATAAACAAATGATGTTACTCTTGGAAATATGGCTTTCTTTTGATTTGTTTTCAATTTCCAATGTGGTTTTAGTGCCACCTTCTGGTGTAAGGACATCAGATTTTATAGGATAACAAAGTTGATGTGTGCAATGTGTTGTGACAAGAATTTGGCAACAGTTATAGAAAGTGACATAACATCTTTAAATATCTGTTCAGCTTCAAAGGAAATGACATGGATCTTACCTGTGTTGTTCTTGCAGGTCCTGGCTAGAGTGTAGGTACATGTTCCCATGAAGGTGTAGAACTTCTTGTCAAACGTGTTGTAGTGAGGATCTCCGGACACCACACAGTCCTGAGAGCCTGGGAGAGGGACACGCACAGAACATAATAAGACTTATGCTGCTAACATTACACAACTTGCATTAGGGAGAAGTTGTTCTGTGTGGTAACAAAAAATAAGAGGTACCCAAATTGTACCCTGCAGAACACCTGAGTATGATGTTTCAAGGATTTGATCATGAGTCTAAAGCTCCTCAAACAATGCAACATACAGTATGATATACTTAATATACAAGTAAAATATATAAGAAATGCAGTAAAATAGATAGAAAATGATTGACTTTGACTCCCATTTCCTGATATCATATTCTTGCAGCTATGTATATACTGGTATACTGTACTAAAACTTGCGATTACCAGCTGTAATCTAAAGGCTTAACTGAGTCATTTATTTGAATTTGGTTTTAAATTCATTTACTTTGCTTCTTCAAAATTCTACTTCTTCTGCTAAATTGTGGGAAAATGGGTAGTTTTTTTGTTATACTGATAACGTCAATACACTATGATTCACACACACTTTAGTTACACGTAGTATGAAGGGTGTAAACTTACTGGTGGGATAGCAGCCCAGCTCTCCCTCCTGGAGTTTACACTCATGCATTGGGGGGCAATCGAACGGCGAACAGGTCACGAAAGGTGCGTTACACCTACACTTCAGCTGACAATCCTCCACATAAAACTCGTCTCCAGACTGACACACACATACACACACACATTTTAACTGTGTTAACAAGATCCTCACATATTCAAAAGCAATGATGTCCTTGTGGTTTTAAACTGAAATATAAATGTCCCCTGGTTGCAAACCCCTCTTCTCTGTACCTCATAATACTGTCCGTTGTAATTGCAGCCACACAAACTCTTCTTCACGCACTTTCCGGCACTCAGGACATATCCAGGATCGCACACACAGCCCTCGGAGCAGGGCCCGCCGCAGGAGGAAGGTTTCCCCAAACACGTCTCCTGGCAGGGGTTTGCACACGGCTCATAGTGGCTGTTGGGTTGGCAGCTCAGAGCTAGGGGGGAGGAAAGGAGGCTGAGTTCAGTGATAGGAAGGGCATACAAGCACATGCTGAGACCAGGGCTTGAATTAATCAATTGTATAATGAAGATTAGTAATGTAAAAATGGTACAGTTGTTTATGGCAGCAGGTTTCATGTGTGGGCTATAGACAAATGACCAACCCAACCCAAAATGGGTTGGCAAAATAACGCCAAAAGCCATTTGGGCTAGCGCATTTTTTCTTGCCCTACATCCCACCATCCATCTATCATTTCTCGGTCCATTCTTTCACCCGACACTCACGGCAGAAGGTTTCGTTCCTCCAGGGTCCGATGTTTACCCCGCGATCCTGGCACTCGTTGACGTAGGCTTCGATGGCTTCACAGAGGATGGGCTTGGCTCCATCCAGCTCACACAAGTCGAACACACAGTCCCTGAAGTAATTCTGAAGACACACACGTAGTTTGAGTTACAATCCTTCACTTTATATCTTTATCTTAAACCATAAACTGTCATTTCTGTCTCCCTCTTTCCTCTGCTTCTTATTATTTTTGATGAGATTGTACTGATTTTATTGCATGTTGGCACACTAAAATGAGTTCTACATCTAAAGAGGGAACTGCTTCATGTTTGTCTGTACTGTATGTGTGTTTTTGTGAAGCGACTTACATTTGGGTTGACTTTGCGGTGGCACACAGCGAAGGGACCCTTTTTGTCCAGCAAGATACCACAGTATCCTGAGCTCTCGTACATTTCCTGCTCTCCAACCTCACAGTCGGGGATGGTGGTGTTGGGTTTCTTATTACACCTGTCAACACAGAGAGTAAGTTAGAGAAAGTTGGCATGCGTTGTTAAAATAAACGGGTGTGGTGTATTAGCATGATGACCCAAAATATTCGATTTAACTATAAAGCAAGGAATCTTTCAATGTGGGTCTGTCCTGCACATTTCTTGAGAACAGCTCATCCAATCAACTTTACTCTTGGAGGGTGTTTTGCTAAGGACCAAAGGGAGTGCAGTGTTTAGCTTGTGGTAAATCGGATTAGCTGTTCTGGTGCCCTTTCTGGATTGGCACACCCAGAACGCGCAATCTACATGTATTAAATAAATAGGTATGGTCAAACTAGTAAGGTAATGTCTGTGTATGCAGCTTGTTTGTAGACAAATGAATGTATGCTACTAACTCTGGATCAGTGTTCCAGCTGTGTCCAAAGTCATTGGGGTTGTTGGTCAATGATCCATCTGGTTTACGGAAGTCATCTTTGGCATTCCCGTCGTAATCTCCACACAGTCCACACAGCTTGTCTTCATAGCTGCAGGTTAAAAGACGATGTAAAGGTTAGATTTTGTAGGAGTGAGAGCAACAAATCAGGTAGAGCTGCATGTGTCTACTTGTCCACCACCATATCCAAGAGTTTGTAACAGCGTTTTTGTTATTATTTTCTAAACGTCCATTTAAAGGATGATTTGGTATGTTGGGTTGGGGTAAGAACAAAAGAGCCGTTCTCCAATGACTGTATCTTTTTTCAGTCTTCACTTACTCTTTGATCACTTTGATATCCATGAAGTGGTTTCCATCATAACGAACTGTCACGCCAAAGTCCATGGACACAGTGTAGAACTTCCCTGACTTGAACACAGAGACACCTGGGGCTGGACTCACTGCCAGATTTACATTGGTCCCATTTACCTGTGTGGGGGAAAGCAGGTGCAAATAACATAGTTTGGTGATTACTGAGGTAATAGATGTGGCATTTATAGGATATTTCATTTTCTTAATTGGCAATGACAAAAGCAACTTAAATGCTCCTGTAGAATAAGCTCCAAAGTTAGTGTTGAACCCACATCGGGTTAATATGTGCAATAATTCTCACATCAAATCGTTTGTCAATGTAAAACAAGTGAGTATTTATACATTACTTTTATTGTTTTAATTCACCTTAGTAATGTTAATAACAACTTTTTTGCCAATATGTGCAAAAAGGCAGAGCCCAGGTGCTAGCCATGTGATCGCTATAAGCTACATCTGGTTTGACGCAGTAGTGGAGTCAGTTGGCTCTTAAAACTGCAGATGCAAATACGCTATGTCGAGTTCAGTACAGTTATTTTTATCGCTATTACATGGTGTTCGTATAATTGTATTATTTAGCTAAAACACAAAATGGCTAATACTGCTACCTGTACTGCTAATGATGCTTTGCTAACTTAGTGACAGGATAATGTTTACCGGTAGGCTTTCACAATAAAAGCATCCTGACGATTTTTCAATGTGGAGATTTAAGCATTGGATTTGCCACAAATAAGAAATAACATTAAATTCCTTAACACATGTAACGTGTTAAGCATAAGTGTATTGACATCCTGTGTATGTAAAGGGAAAGACATTTAATTGTAGCTACTTAATTTAGCTATATCCTTAATTGTCTTTTGTAGCCTACAATAACTTTAGTTACCTTGACATGTTATATTTGAATCAATTGTATGATGGTCTTTACCATGACACCCTGTCTGTTAAAAACTATGCTAGCTCCTCCACTTCTCACCTGTACAGTGCCACCTTTGAGAATGGAGATCTTCACCATGCGTACATATACATGGACAGCTTTCAGATAGGAGATGGTGGGCCTGTTAAAGCGATTTTCATTGTCTGCATGGACCTCAAAGTGTGGCAGGGTGGTGTCATTGCAGGGTCCAGTCATTAAATAGCTGCAGTTTCCCATGAAGTTGTACTTGCGTTTGTCAAAGGTGGTGTAGTGCGGATCACCAGATGCTATGCACGTGGATGTACCTAAGGTATTAGAAAGTATGTTAGAGGTTATTCTGTTACAAATATGCTTCACTGGTTCACAGTAATTTAAGATTAAGAACTAGCTAAACTCCAGTTGCTGTAGAGTACAGCAGATGGTGGCGACGGATCACTTGGGACCAAGTCAGATGGTCATTTTGAAGTGACACCTAAAGCTTTTTAGTCACTGACTGTGGTCAGAATTGAGTGTTTTAGGAAAATTATAAACGTAAAATGTAGTGAGACATTAGCACACACAGGGTAGGGTTAACTGACTCAATGATGTCAGTTACAAAGCAGAACAGTATCTAAAGTTTTCTAACATTAGCACAAATAGGCCACCTACTAGTCACACCAGAACAAGTATGACCATAGCAGATTATTTTTTGCAAGGCACTGCTTTCTGTGCACAATCAAGTTTGAGGAAGGTTTGTTATGAAGTGGGTACTGTATCCCTGTTCAAAGAATTATCCTTTGTCACTATTCTATAATTAAACTTACTCTCTGCCTTTGTGTGTGGTCGGAAATAAGAGTTCTAAACACTTTCACCATTATATGTGGTTGTTTGACGTAATAGTTATATTATATCATGTTGAGCTGCTAGTAATAGCTCCTGTACCAATTCCAAGAACATCTACCAGTCATAATTACCTTTAGGATAGCAGCCTGAACCTCCATTAACCTCACGACACTCTTCAGTGGGTTCACATGAGTTATCAACACATTCTAGTGTGTAGTTTCCTGCACAGTGACACAGCTTTGAGCAGCCATCTCCAAATATAATTTCTCCAGGCTGAAAGAAAATGTAACAAAGGATCAAATCGGCAGGACTAGAACTACAAAGTACAACCTTCCTGTCATGTACTCTGTTATCATTATATATTGAACAGGATTGCATGCATATGGGGTCATTAGTAAGGAAATCCAACCTCGTAATAGTTATTCTCGTCATCAAGACAGCCACATTTTTCTAGTGGCACACAGCGTCGACCCTTGAAGACAAACCCTGGTTTGCAGAAGCAGCCACTGATACAAGATCCAGAACAGTTGGTGGAGGGTTCCTTACAGGTTGGGATACAAGCTGGACCACATTCTATATACTCTGCATCAGGAGGGCATGGGTCTGTACAGCAGAAAGAAGCACTTGTAAGGAAAATGTGTAAGGAAGATGTAAGGAAGAAAGAAAGAATTGAAGAATCTCATTAATCTAAAACTCAAATGGAACTTCATAGGTATGCATGCTTACTTGGTTCTGGTGTTGTTGGTTTAGGAGTTGTTGGTTTAGGTGTGGTTGGCCCGGGAGTGATTGGCTTAGGTGTGGTTGGCCCAGGAGTGGTTGGTTTGGGTGTGGTTGGACCGGGAGTTGTTGGTTTGGGTGTAGATGGGCCGGGAGTTGTTGGCTTAGGTGTGGTTGGAACAGGAGTTGTTGGTTTGGGTGTAGATGGGCCGGGAGTTGTTGGCTTAGGTGTGGTTGGAACAGGAGTTGTTGGTTTGGGTGTAGATGGGCCGGGAGTTGTTGGCTTTGGTGTGGTTGGAACAGGAGTTGTTGGTTTGGGTGTGGTTGGTCCTGGAGTTGTTGGTTTGGGTGTGGTAGGTCCTGGAGTGGTTGGTTTGGGTGTGGTTGGACCAGGAGTGGTTGGTTTGGGTGTGGTAGGTCCAGGAGTTGTTGGTTTGGGTGTGGTAGGTCCAGGAGTTGTTGGCTTGGGTGTGGTAGGTCCAGGAGTTGTTGGTTTGGGTGTGGTTGGACCAGGAATTGTTGGTTTGGGTGTGGTAGGTCCAGGAGTTGTTGGTTTGGGTGTGGTAGGTCCAGGAGTTGTTGGCTTGGGTGTGGTAGGTCCAGGAGTTGTTGGCTTGGGTGTGGTAGGTCCAGGAGTTGTTGGTTTGGGTGTGGTTGGACCAGGAATTGTTGGTTTGGGTGTGGTAGGTCCAGGAGTTGTTGGCTTGGGTGTGGTAGGTCCAGGAGTTGTTGGCTTGGGTGTGGTAGGTCCTGGAGTTGTTGGTTTAGGTGTGGTAGGTCCTGGAGTTGTTGGTTTAGGTGTGGTTGGACCAGGAGTTGATGGTTTGGGTGTGGTTGGACCAGGAGTTGTTGGTTTGGGTGTGGTTGGACCAGGAGTTGTTGGTTTGGGTGTGGTAGGTCCCGGAGTTGTTACTGGTGGTTTAGGAGTTGTTGGTGGAGCTTTAAAAGAAAAAGAAATGGTTTCCCATTAAACGTCCTATTTCTTATGGTGCAGAGAGTAACTTGAATTCCCTCTTGTCAGTTTCTCACCTTTGCAGACCGTGACACACACAGCATCAACAGCAATGTCCGTCTGAATAGTTTCTCCATACGTTCCCACAATCACAAACTGAAATACATATAAATGTGACAAGAAGGTTATTGGAAACCTATGCACACACACCTAAAAAGACACACAGTAGTTAGTATTTACCTCAATGGCAGCAGATCCCAAGTACCGGACCTCTGCAGGCTTCCAGCTTTGACCCTGGTTCCCCCTGACAGTGAAGAGAGCAGGTCCAAGGCTTCCACCTGGTACATATAAGTAAACAGAATTAAGCAAGACAAAAAATGTTATGCTGTCTGTGTTTCGGTCTTTATTTTAATAAATGCACCTGCCTGGGGTTTTAGTGTGGACACTGATCTCCATGGTCGTGCTGGTGCCATACAGGACGTAGTGGAAGGTGAGGTCAAGGCATCCAGGGGAAGATATTACAGGACTTAGGATCTCTGACTTAGCTCCAGGGAGAGAATATACACCATCCATCAACATGTAGGCACCGACTACATAGGGTTAAAAAAAGAAATGACATTTAGAAAAGGATAAAAATTTAATTAAAATCATTAATTTAATTTCTATGGACAGATACGTGCCTAAAAAGGTTTGTATGTGCATTTAAACGTTTCATGTTCAGCAAATAAAACAGGTTTATTTGCCATTAATGACATTTTACAAAAAGGAGAAAAGTATGCTTATTTTATTTATTTGTACAGATGGTACATTGGCTTAATGTTATTTAATATACAGTACATACAATCTGGAAGAGCTTGTGACACATTCATTTCCATGCAGACTTTTGAAGACAAGAACTGCTTACATCCAGGTTTGGAGAAGTCATCATTTGGGCCGCTGCCTTCAGTGTCAGTTGGCCCAACCCACTGTTCAAAGCCAAATATATCAGGATTCACAGTGTTGGTCATCCACGAACATATCTCACCAAGAGTGTCAAACTCACAGCCATAAACACAAGCTGTGAAAAAAAAAATTCAAAATCAATGATAGAGCAATTTGCTTTTGAGCATATATGAGTGTGTCAGTGCGAAAGCTTACAGGGACATGCTCCTTCAGTGATGACAATGTTGTCCAGAGCTGTGTCACAGGAATCACTGAGGCCTCTCTGAGCCTCAAACACAATCTATAGACACAGAGCATACATTATTAACCTACATGAGGAAATTAATTCAGCAGTTGTACTTTAGGAAAAAGCTGTATATTGATTTCAGCGTTGTATTCGGAATTAAAAAATGTTAATTAAATTGTGATTGAATATTGGCTAATGAAATGAGACATACTGTAGCTTTATTATGTAGTGTTTAAGCACTAATAGGTATTTGAAATATTGGATCATCCTTATCATGTATTGGAGGGATAGTTATACAAAGATGCAAAGTCATGCTAAAAGGAGATGGAAGATTCTAACATTTTGTCAAGATTGAACAAAAGACGTGACCTGCTGACACTCACATTGACGCTTTCACTGCTGGATTTGGACACAGTGACGGAGCCCTTCAGCCAAGATGGACTCTGGAATCCTGTCTTTTTCCATACTTCCTCCTCAGCGCCAGGCCTCTTGGCCAGAACTCTGAACACATTTGTATTGTCTGAGCCGTACATGTAGTATCGGAACTGGACACAGATCTGAGTGGCGGAAGATGAGAGGGCGGGGCTCAGAAGACGAACTTTCTGTCCATTAGCCACATTGTCACTCTCATGGTAGATGTAGAAGCCCTCTGCAGACAGATTCAGACAGAAGGAAGATGTGTATTTATATAATGTGTCCAAATGTCCATGGCAAGGTTCTAAATCAACCCTAATCATGGTTGATTACAGGCAGTAAATATTTCATCTAAACCATGCACTCAGGACTGACCTCCGTAAGGGTAGTCTCCATTGGGGCCAGTGTTGAGGGTTGGGGTTGGACCTCTTTGTCGGGTCCAATCGCCGTTGTCTGTGCTGTCCTGAGTGAACCTGCAGAATGGTGCACTGTCCTGGTTAAAGTCACAGGAGGTCAGCTCTACTCCTGGAAATAGACAAACACAGGCAGATTGACAAATGCATACTGGAGAGGTCAATAACTTAAGAGTCATAAAGAGGACTTGTTTTGTCCTCTTCATGGTCAAGGACAATCAGCTGTTCGATCTTATCATTGCCTTAGAGAACATAACCATACCAACAGTACCACATTCCATACCATAAGAGTTTTATTGTATAAGATTTAAGACTTTCTGCCTAATTTTCCCGTTAGAAACTTGATATTTGATGAGTAATTGGCATGTTTGTTCCTCTACCCTCACTGAGATATTCAACTCGTCAATTGGATAAACAGTTTTTTGCGGACACCATTGGCTTCCGGTCAAGGATGAAGGAGACACTTGTCCTTCAAATCAGTATTAGAGGTAAATAAGGTTACATATTAAAGAGACATGAAGGGGACTTTTTTCAAACTTGAGTAGTGAGAAGGGGGCGCAACCTTAAACTTAACTTTGACAATGTTGACTTTGTTTTTCCTTTGTTAGAATGACTTGTCCAAGCATTATACATGTTTGTTTGCCACAGAGCTTATTTCTACAATAGTCGAATCAGAATCAGAATCAGAATCAGGTTTATTACCAGGTAGGTTGACACTTACGAGGAATTTGACTTGGTGTTGTGGTGCATACATAAAGGTAAAACAATAATGTAAAACACAGATAGAAAACTATTTTAAGAAAACTATAATAAGATAAAAAATGTATTTAAAAAATAGTCAAATATAGCAGTATTTACATTGAAATAGAATGGAATAAAATATGAAATATGTGCAGTAATAAAAAAAACGTAATGTAATGCATAGAGTCTATGATGCGGCTAATCAAATCTGTTTGGCTTTTTGCCGAAGGAACCACTGTGACGCTATCTTTCGATGTGGTCTACGCATATGTGTCATCCCTGCAGCTCTATCATCAGGTTGCCGTTGTCAATCACAAGGTAGGAACCCCCTAAGGGAGACCCTGTTTTGTCCTCTTTAAGTTTCACTATATTTAAAAAAAAGAACAGCGAGGCAACGTTCACTTCTTTAGAGTTGTTGGCTTTAACTGAGGACTGATATCTCTCTGTAGTTTCCTGTGTCTATGTTGTGAAAATGTTAACACATCTACACAGTGTAAAAGTGTTTGTTGCTTATGTATAGTGAAGATAAGAAGCTGTAAAGAGGTAAAGTCCACACCAACGCCAAGGACGGTCTGGTGGAGTCACATGTAGTCATACAGTCCTACCTTATGTTCAAATTTTGATTAAAGATAATGATACACAGAATTTATTGCGTGATAAAAATCAACGTACCCTCTCTTTGTGTTCTCGGCAGGCTGTAAAACAGAGAAAGACATAACAGATTCACGTTAAAGTTTGGTTTCCTTTCATAGTGAGCCCTTACTGTAAATGTCAGCAGAGAAGATATCCAAATATTACAGATGTATTTAAAATGTGTAAATTGTAATGTAAATGTAAAACATTTTTTATTTAAACCAGGACCGAAATTAATCAAGCATTATATCAATTATCTATACATCTGCAAATTATTTCCTTGATAATTATTGTAATATTTTCTCTAATAAAATTCAGAAAATAGTGAAAAACACATTCACATTTTTCAAAGTCTAAAGTAACATCTTTAAATATCCCAAAATATTCCTATTATTGAATACAAAATAGAGAAAAGCAGGAAATCTCAATATTTCAGAGGCTGGATTAATCAATTTACATTTTCCATAAAAAATACTTCAATGACTATTTGATTATTAGACTAGCTTGCGATAATTTTTTCCAAATAATGTATTTGTCATATCTGATGTGCTATGTTTGGATTGGAGACTCACCCATGCTGTGCCTGTCCTCCCGCCCTGCAGACACACATCCATAGGAGCAGAATTAGAAACCTGAATGTATCCATGGCTAACTGTTAGTTAGCAGGAGAGGAAGACAGAATGACAGAGCGGAGGCCTTTATATAAAGGGCTAGGATGTATGGGGGGGGGGGGGGGTAAGCAGGGGTGTGATGGGTGGGTGGGTGGATGCTGAATTGCTCCATTACTTAATGTCGCAAAATGTGTAAATAAGTAACTGTAGTTGATAGGGACCAGGTGTGTTCTCTCTAGGTGTGTTAGTGCTTTTTGACCTCTTAGCCGTTCACAGGCAGGGTGGGGAAGCCTATCAAACATGATATTACAAATACCAACACTTGTACTGTAAGACATTATGGAGCTCCATGTGTAATAAACGGAATACTGTTATCACATAGACACACCTTATTATTACATACTTAATATTTGTGCATTCTTTGTGTGGGATGGGAACACGGTAAAGCAAGTCGATTCAATTGTATTATAAATTAAACTACTTTTTTTTCATTTTTGATTAATCAATCCTACCAATTTTCAAATTTAAATTATTGAAACACAGGTACAACATTTTTTTGCTGTTGCCGTTATTTGACTAAATAGGGTGTGTAAAAGGAGAATACCATCTTCCGTTTCGGTCTTATCGTCACGTTTGTTACACTACGTTACTTAGATACGTTGAAAACAGTTTTTTAATTTTGTTTTCCATAGCAACCAGGACAGACTCATGTTTCCATGTGCACTTTGACCTCGGGCTCAGTCCGTCACCAGCGATGCTCATTCTGCTGAGCTTTATCTGTGAAAGTGAGATTTGATCATTGCCTATAATTCAGAAAATCAGACAAGCAGTCAGTGCCTCTGCATCAGGTACAGCAAATGTGTTGTCCCTGTGTCCACCTAAAATCAATTCAGACATCATGACACAATTCCATCAGATTAATGATAAAAACCTAGAGGACATTATTCAACTTCTGAAATCCTCCTCCTGCTGCCTTGATATTATTCCATTGTTTTTCATTGCATGGCCTCAGATCTACTTCACATAGTAAACAAGTATCTTCACTCAGGTGTTTTTCCACAGGCCCTGAAAACTTCAGTCATTAAACCGCTCTTAAAAAAGAATAATCTAGATGCTTCAGTAATGAACAATTACAGGCCCATATCAAACCTCCCATTTCTAGGTAAAATCATTGAAAAAGTAGTTTTTCAACAGTTGAGTAATTACTTGCATTTAAATAACTGTTTGGATGTGTTCCAGTCAGGCTTTCGACCAAACCACAGCACTCAGACTGCTCTTGTAAAGCTCTTCAATGACATCCACTTAAACACAGACAGTGGCAGAACTTCAGTGTTAGTATTATTAGATGTTAGCGCTGCGTTTGACACTGTTGATCACAACATATTACTAGACCGACTAGAAAACTGGGTGGGACTTTCGGCAACAGTTCTAAATTGGTTTGAATCCTACTTAAAGGACAGAAAAAACGTTTCTATAGGTAAATACACATCTGAGTTGACAAATATGACATGTGGGGCTCCATCTTGGGGCCTCTTCTCTTTAACATCTACATGCTACCACTGGCTCAGATAATGAAAAGCAACAAAATAAGTTACCATAGCTATGCGGATGACACACACATTTACGTAACAATTTCACCAGGAGACTATGCTCCAATTCAAACACTGAGTAAGTGCATTGAACTCAATGACTGGATGTGTCAGAACTTTCTCCAATTAAACAAAGATAAAACTGAGGTAATGGATTTTGGAGCCAAGGCAGAACGTATAAAAGTTAGCGCTGAGCTTCAGTCTGCAATGTTCAAAACAACAGATAAAGCCAGAAATCTAGGTGTAGTCATGGACTCTGACCTGAGTTTCAACGGTCACATTAAAACAGTTAATAAATCAGTCTACTATCACCTTAAGAATATTTCTAGGATTAAAAGACTAATGTCACAGCAGGATTTGGAAAAACTTGTCCATGCTTTTATCTTCAGTAGATTCGACTACTTTAATGGTGTCTTTACAGGTCTCACTAAAAAATCTAGTCCTCACTAACACTAAGAAAGTGGATCACATCACTCGTGTTCTGAAGTCTTTACACTGGCTTCCTGTCAAAGAATTGATTTCAAAATATTGCTGCTGGTTTATAAAGCTTTGAATGGTTTAGGCCCAAAATACATGTCTGACCTACTGCTAAATTATGAACCATCCAGAACTCTCAGGTCTTCAGGGACTGGTCAGCTTTCTGTCCCCAGAGTCAGAACTAAACATGGTAAAGCAGCGTTCAGTTATTATGCTCCAAATATCTGGAACAAACTCCCAGAAACCTGCAGGTCCGCTGCAACTCTTACTACTTTTAAATCCAGGCTGAACACTTTTCTTTTTGCCGCTGCTTTCAATTGAACTATTCACATCTTAAACTGCACTGTAACTTTTATCCATGTATTTTTTCTTTTAATGTTTATTTTATTATCTTTGCTTTTTAATGACTGATTTTAAATGCCATTTTCTTAATGTCTTTCATTTTTTGTAAAGCACTTTGAATTGCCTTGTGTTGAAAGGTGCTATATAAATAAACTTGCCTTGCCTTGCCTATAAGAACAATACCATTTTCCATACTATATTTGTTTTGCTGTATAAGATTTTAGACTTTGTACCTCGTGTACAGGTTTTTTTTAAAGTACTCAATTGAAAATCAACTGTTGAGATCTCTATGCTCACTGAGATAATAATCTCTTTCATTTGACAGACAAGATTGGGGTCTGGTCAAGGATGAAGGAGACACTTGTAGTCCTTTCAAATCTGTATTTCTTTTTTTTGACTGTGACTTACTGTACAGTATAATTTCTAAGTTATTATTAACCGGAAGAGTGTGTGTTGTGTTTGTCTTGATAGCAAAATGTGCTCTTGGAGACAAAGCAGTTTGGAGTCCTTTTCCAGTTGATACCAATATTTCAATGAGATAGTGTCACAACCGTGAAAGATGCAGTCAGGACATGTTATAGGTGTTAAGTTGAGGAAGGTAGAAGTTGAAGATGGTACGTGTAATCGGGCCCATGACCAATTGGCCCTACCACATTATGCCCTTCTTAATGCCCTGGCCCAAGTTGGTGTCACAAAACTTTAAAGGTGTGTGGTTAGGTTAAAAATGAAGGCTAATATTGAAGATGGGTGTGCGCCAAGCAAGTAGCGGTTTGGAACTGGGGAAAGGGCCATTGAACGACACTTTACACCAGTGGCCCGATTTGGCTTTGCGGCTGTGTCAAATTGCGTTATGGTCCCAACTTCCCTCACAAATACTTGCCACAAAATAGGTACATTGACCAAGACTTTACACTACAAACAGAACGTAAACTACACTTCCTTAAGTTCTATTCGTTCACGGGATAAAAAGAAAGCCTAGACCCTGAGAGACTGGGCCATTGGGGCAGTTTGAAACCCAGGCTTGGGACTCAGTAGAGTTTAGCCAGTGTACAAAGGGTGTGTAGAAAGAGGAAATTCTTTCTTTTTCAGTCCCCCCCTCTTTTAATGGTTTGACTTTCTTGGAGCCACGCGTAACAAATGACAAGCAGTCACTAAGTCCATTCTTATGTTTGAACAAGTATGAGCACACAGCTCTTTTGATTAATGATAGCATTTTTTACTATTTGCTTACATTAAATGTACCGGCCAACTAAAAATTATAATAAAATATGACTGTACTGTACTGTACTGTACTGTACTGTACTGTACTGTACTGTACTGTACGTCTAAATAAGGTAAAGTGAGTGAAATAGTTGAAACAATACATAGGTAGTTGTGTTTTACTTGTCAGAGCAGCATGTAAAAAGGAAATATGAACCTCAGCTGTTTTGTATGTGGTGATTCACATTCATAAAAACGTCATTTACTTGAGTCAGGTAATGTGTGTGTGGAAGTCCCTTTCTGGGAAAGATACTGAGGCAGAAGGAAACTCCTCCAACGTGAGAAGTATTGGCTCTTATGATGACTGAGCGAATTCTGTGTTCTTTCTTAGGGGTGGGGCTGCAGTATTCATTTCAGAGACTAGTTGTGTCATACCTACTGTATATATTTTACAGATTATTAACCTTTTCTTAGCTGATGTTGTTTGGAGTGAAGTGACTGTTGCTCTTTTCTACTTGGGCAACAAGCCTGTTGTCAAAAGGAAACCTTTGTGTCAGTAATACATGGAATATTATTCTGTCAAATATTGTAATTATTGTTATGTACTGCTTGTTATTTTATTGCCTGGATTTGCTCCTGGATGGTATAAATTAATGACATGATTGGTTTTAAATGTTGTAATCTCCAAACAACAAGTAAATGGCCCAATAGATAAACTGTATTTGGCCTAAAGTTCAATAGCTTAAGATGTTTACAACTTTAATAAGGCAAGGCTGCTGTTACAGTAAAACAGTTACAGTAACAGTAATAAGGACACAGAACAGTCTTTCAGGATATAACACAACTATGTTTATTACATGGCTTGAATACTCTATTCTGATTGGTCATCTTGGACATTTCAGAGGTTGTTAATACTCTGCTAACACACCGCTGCTAAGGAAACATGACTGTTACTAAGGAGGATCAAGGGACTATGTGCAGTCACATCATCCATTTATTCAGAAAGAGTTGATACATTCACAATATACAAATAGAATAAACGTAATGTACCTAATCTGTCTACCCCGATATAGGTTCATCATGTCAACATTCTACAAAGGCTATAGGGAAATACTTTTTTTAGTTGTTTGCAAAATATAGATATATGGAAACACCCTGAGGGAGTGCCAATCAGGTCACAAAACACTGATCTTTGTACCAACATACAATACACAAACTGGGTGTGCCTCAAAAGTCCTACATGAGTGCTTTACCAAAGTGCAAGTGGATGTGAAAATGCCTTAAAATGTAAATGTCAAGGCTCCAGCTTAATGACAACATAATAAAGAGAGAGAGGGTGTAGCAATACTGCAAGTCAGTTTGGGTACAGGGCCTTGTTGATAAGGCCTAATGAAATTGAGAAGAAGCATTTTGTCCCCACCAGAGTCCAGCCAATGAGGGTGTTGTCCATGAACTTCCACT